TGAAATGTTCCTGAACTCTAAATGCCAAGAATAGTTGTTTTTTTTGTAATTTGACCAATGACTTAATATTTGTTTAATAGACCAACATAAACTTTCACTAGATTTTCAGGGCTCTAACTAGATGTTTCTTTATCTACAGGGACAGAAAGGTCATCCTGGTCCCTCTGGTCTGCCTGGTGAACCTGTGAGTACTTCCCTTTTTTTTTAGTCATTGCCCTAGTGTGCTGTGTATGATGCATTTTCTCTCATGTACATTATCTATGGAGCATTTATCTATCAAATATCAGTCCTGTTTACCATCAAATTACAATAATGCTTTTGTTCGGACCATTCATTAAACATGAGTGATTGATTTGAATGTAACTTAAGGACTAATTTGAGCTCAGTTAGTAAACTGGTAAAGGGTTGGATAAAAAGATGTGTGATTTTGAAAATACCTACAGATAACTCTGAAGTCACTTCCATGTGATCAACAGTATCTGAGGTGAGGGGTTAAAAACAATCATGAGGCATCAAAAATATTTCTGATAAAGCAAGAGTGTCTCTTATAAACAACAAGAATGTGATTTCTAAGATGAACCCCCACCCCCTCCTTCTCTCTGAGGTGTTATCGTGCTCTCTAAATCCACTGCCTGCTGTTTGTCTGTCTGATGGCTGCAGTGTGTGTTAGCCGTTCTTCTGTGTTTGTTTACTCATAAAAAGAGCCAATAACTTACAAAGTTCCCATCAGAGTAAAGCATGTGTTCCCATTTAATAATACAAAACAGGAGGAATGGAGAGAAAGAACATTTTAACCGTCACACAAAAAAAGTGTGTGGAAAAAGAGTTAGTTAAGATAGACGAGACATTGGACTTAAGTCGTGCTGGAATCTTGGCCGGAATAGAGAAGAAGAGTTTTTTGGCCGAGGAACAAGTGGGCTAAATAGTTTGGACACCCCTAGGTCATTCCTCCTCCTTCTCCTTCTCCTTTTCTCCCTCTTTCCTGAGCTCAAATCCGGTGTACTATCTTGCAGAAAAATGTGCTCTGTCACAGCGAATAAAAAACGCCTTTCTTGAGATGAGGCAGTCTTTTTGATGACTCAAATAGAAATGTAGTTACATCAAGAGGAGTCTGCAATGATTGGCCTGAGGCTTGTTATTTTTTGTTAATTAACTTTTTTTCATTGTTTTCTTATTCAGTGACAATAATTGGCGACACCTTGTGCCAGAAAGATATTATTTCTCTGGTACTGAAGACAGCTCACTCTCAGTGTTTCTTTGCAAGTAAAGTTTTTAGTTATTCTGAAGCAGAATTTAATACGTGTCTGCAATAACTCTCATGACTTTATAGGACTTACATTATATTGCACTATACATCAATAATTACCTTCCTGCATTGTGATATGTCCTCTGGTGCAACAGTTCCTCCTTTACTGACTACTTTGACTACTGTTTCCCTGTGGATATTTACAAGATTTCTCCTTTAACTTGATTTGATATTTATAACTTGATGTTTACTGACACATTCACCATCCGGTTTAGCAAAGGAAGCAGAAAATAAAGAAACAGAACTCACTTTTTTCATGCCTTCACTAACTAATTTACTTCCAATTCATGCAGAGTTAAACATTCCCTTCAGAGGGATGTATTTGTGCAGGGATGTATTATTATATAGCGCATTAATTAGGGTAAACATAAAAAGGCAGAACTGTGCTAACAGTTGTCTAAACAGCATGTAGCTTGACCTTATAATAATACCTCTTGCTACTTACTGTCGGATTAATTGAATGGTTTGAGGGGCAACGTCTGCGGTGGCCTCTTTCCTTAAGCAACACTGACGGGACCAAACAAAAGGTCTTTATTTAACGCTGAGAGATTAAAATTCTTCCATAGGAGCAATTAACTGTTGTTTATGACTTTAGACATAAAGTGCTTGTTTTCAGTATTTATTACTGTCTGTGAGGCTCTTATTGTAATCACTGCCACTCCAACAGAAACCATATGTGCATAGAGGAAACCTTTTTCCTGAATGTTACTCCTTGCCTCCCTCACTCTATCCTTCAGTCCTTTTCTCCTTCCTTTCCTCCCTTTTAGTCTCACGTCCTCCTCAAGTGCTGATTTGTCTTCTGTCTCTCACTCCACAGGGTGAACAGGGAGATGATGGAAGCACTGGGGCCAAAGGCTATCCTGGCAGGCAGGTGCAGTAAATCTAGTGTTGCGGTGCTGGTTGAGCAGGGCCACACACACACACACACACACACACACACACACACACACACACACACACACACACACACACACACACACATACACAAATGCACAGACATGGAGTCACACACTCACACATAAAGAAAGATAAAGCTATAAATGGAGGTTAGGATATCATCTTTATTGCCAATGCAGCTGTTTTAGATCTAAAATTATGATTCTGACCTGCCTCTAAATCAAAGTTCAGCTAGTTTTTTTTCTTCTGACTGTCACAACAATGAATAAGACAAAAAATATAGAATATATGTGAATGAATTGAATCTTTTTTGTAGCTAGAAAAAAAATCAATGTAAGGATATTGGGTGTTTGGGAAAAATCTCAGCCGTCGGCATTTCAAAATCGAATTTGGCAAATCCAAATAAAAGGTTTATAGCAGCTGAATGAAAGGGAAAGGCATCAGAAAGAGGGACAAACAGCTCCGAGGTGTTGTGAAGCAGCTTTTTGTGGATTTCAGCAACAGATGCCCAGGTCTAGAGAGGAAATAAAATGTCAGAGGGTTTCCGCTGTAAGCACCACTCTGAAGACAGAAAAGTTATTAATGATAATAAAATAAGAAATAATAAAAAATGAAATGTCCTTTCTTCAGGATAAGAATAAAGTTGAAGTTAATAATACTGTGACTAATGCCACAGCTCCCCAGGCACAAATAAGCTGCATCTGTCTGTCCAAACTGTGATTGTTAGTCCTTACCTCTCTTCTGGGAATGACATTTCACTTGAGGAGTCAAAGCTGTGGAGCTTTCTCTGCATTCAAATCTGTTTCTCTTTAGCTTTAAGAACATTTAAACTCCATAAACAGCTGGACGACTGCTCACTGGCTTATGCCTTCTGAATCTTTATGATAACTTAGAGTTCAGGCACAGGTCTCACTGTTTGCATCTGTGCTTAAGCGCACTTACTGTGTCTGAACTCTGATCCCTTTAGACACCCAGTGGTGTGTGATGGATTAGGTTTTAGCTCCCCCTACCATCTGTAGGCTGTGAATCACTGAGGGCTGCAGGTTTATGTCAATGTGTTGCACTTTGCTGATGTTTCCTGAGCTGAGGGTTGATCTTTATACTTGCAGGGAGAGATTTTCCACGCTGGTGGATTTGTCTGCAATGTCTCCGAGAAATTGATGTGAAGTATTTAAGACAAAAAAGGCAGCAGAGAGGCCAATTAACTTTATATAGAAGTTTCAGATTCCATTTGAAATTAAAGTTGATTTTTTTAAAACTGGTTTCATGTATTTTTTTTTTTTATAACATTTTCCTTTTTGTCATGACAGGACTTTCACAGTGACACAAATTAATGTTTGCTACTGTTTGTAACCTCAGAAATATTGTTTGTGATGTCTTACATTTAGGGTTTACCCGGGCCTGTAGGGAATATGGGGCCAAAAGGAGTCAGGGTAAGTGGATCTTAGTTAAACCTTTGAATTAAATGTTGACTCTTTGAGGAAGTATTTCTGATCTCTATTCATAAAGATCTGTTTTGGAAATAAATCTGTTTTTATCTTCTCTGTAAGGCTGTAAAATAAAAAAAACTTGTTGCAATGACTTTTTATGTTTACTTGTTTTTCATGTTCTTTTGATGAACCCAAACTTCACACATCCACTGAAGCTTACAGGCTAAAAGTTATTTTTGTCATTCCTCTCTTTGGGCCCTATCGTACACCCAGTTCAACGCTTGTGTCTTTTCTATTTTCCTCCTGGTTCCTTTCTTGAGGACGCAGACTGTGCCTTTGACCACCTCCTGATATTAAGATGGCATATTAGAAAGATGGGCATACATTGGCGAGTTCACAACGCACTCCCCTGAACTTTTTCCACACACACACACACACACACACACACACACACACACACACACAGGATGAGGGGAGGGAAAAAAATGGATTTATGTAAAAAAAACGAGATTCTTATCTTCTGAGATTTTAAATCGATTCATAACTCCCAAAACAATTTATTTTTGGCTCATCAGTCATCTGTGACTGATGTAGATCCTGAAGTATGTACTAATTCAAAAATAGACTCTGAATCGAATCATGACCCCATGAATCAAACTGTAAGACACCCAAAGATTCCCAGCACTACACAGGAAGTTCAACAGTGCACCTACTCCGAACTTGAATATCAGTGCTTATGCTGATACGTTCAGATTTTAGTATTTAAGGGGACAGAGGGATGAGAGACGGAGAGCTCTTGTTACTATTGTTCTTTGTTTCAAAGCTCTCGTCCGGGTTCACTTATTCCAATCTGTTCAAACAACTGTCTAAAACACACAGAAAGACACACACTCTTCTAAGTACCACCGATCATAGAGCCTACAGATATTAATAAGGACTGTTCAGTGTACATTACGTGCATTAGAGAATATAGGCAAGGATTCCAGCAGAGAAATAAGCTAATAAATGTTTACAGCCAACCTTTATTTGATGTTGAGCTCACTGAACATTAGTTTACATACATCATGTCTGGTCCTGTCTGATGTTGTGGGAATAATACAGCGAAATGTAACTTCAGTCTGCCTTTTGTCCTACATTTTTCATTCAGTGTCCTGTGTGTGTTATGTGAGTTCAGGGGAACAATGAAAGGAGATACGTTAAATGATTCAGCTCGACATAATTCTTTTTCTTATTTTTAGATACATTTTTTTTATTGGAAAAAGGACGATGGATAGAGTAGGAAACTGGGGAGAGTTTTAGTGGGGAATGATGTACAGGAAAGGTACCACAGGAAGGTAACTCGGGCCACCTGCTTGGAGAGCTTCAGCCTCTGTACATGCACGCAACCTTACCACTTTGCCACTGGCACCCCAGAGTTCGATTTTTTTAATAGCAACACGCCAGCTTGCAGGACACATGGATCCTAAAGGGAATGAGAGCTGACACTCTGACCAGTTCGATTCATTTAAGATTTACTTTTATTGATCCCTGCAAGGGGAAATTTCTGTTTTTACACTCTAAGTCATGAACACACACATACGCTGAAATATATACACATGCAGAAACAGGATCCTATAGACATGCACTAATGGAGAGATGTCAGAGTGACGGAGCTGCCCACAGCGGGCGCTCCTGAGCTGATGGTGGGGAGGGGGTTCGGTGCCTTACTCAAGGGCACCTCGGCAGTGCTCAGGAAGTGATCTGGCACCTCTCCAGCTACCAGACCAACTTCCATATTTGGTCCGCACTGGGACCCTCCGGTTCCCAACCCAAGTCCCTACAGACTGAGCTACTGCCGCCCCCGCCATGTCATGCCAAAACACATCTATGTATTATGAAGCGATTTAATCCAACATCTGATCGCTCTGCACCTCAGATTGTGTGCTAACAAAACCTAGTTGGACACTCCGCAAAGTGATGAGAACTTTAGACAGAGGGATTTACGCCGCCTACATAGGGCCCTTTATCTTTCTGAACTGAACTGTATAATCCCTGCTAAATTAATAATCTTACAAGTGGAGGTACATAAGAAAGCCAGCATCATAAACGCTGCGTGTAAACTGTTGTTAACTCCATGATGATTATGATAGGCGATTTCACAAGTGTATTGTAAGTAATGAAGGGGCAATGAACTCACTTTACAACTCTCTTTGTGCTTGCTTTTCTTCCTCATGTTAGCCAAATATTATAAAACTATGTCGCTCGGCTCAGAGCATTACAATGCATTCAGACGTAAGCTTCTCATTAAATGTCAGTGTAATTTATGACTCTGCGGTTTGGCCACTCATCTTTCCTCTTCCACAGAGCAGGCTTGGCAGCAAGTTCTCCAGAGATCCCTGATGTGAGGGTATGTGCCCTTGGACTACATCGTGGAAGCCAGCACCATGCAGTCCATGGGCATATACACTTGCCTCAAGGCTTAACTCTTCAGGCCACTCTACTGTAACGAAAAGCCTGCAGTGCTGTAACAGATCAAAGTATAACAGCTGAAGTATTTGTAGAGGTTTTTAGACATTTCTCAGTGTTTTTTTGACATCTAAAAGTTCTTCACAGTGTCAATCATCTCTGCTCAGTCTTGTGTTCTCCCATGTCTACCTTCTTTTGCTGCTCCATCTATCTTTGCCTTACCTCTGCATCCACTCCATCTTTTATTCATCTCTCCAGGGTCACATTGGCCTCCCTGGGCTTTTTGGCCGTCCTGGTCCTGATGGCGAGAGAGTGAGTATTGGTGGCTGTGAGTGTAAATGCCCACTGGGTTGTATAATATATCTGTCCATGATAGGCTATGAAATAGAAAAAGGATTTCTTTCTGGAAGTACTGCAGGCACACTTCACCAAATCACTATTATGAGACTGAAGTAGCACAAGCTCCCATGATGTGATGGATCAAACTTTCACCCTCCAACCTCTCTACCGTAATGGATGAGGTTAAAATGTAGGCGGCAGATTTAGATTTAATTAAAGCCAGCTAGAACTCTTACTCCCATTAGCCTCCTGAGCAAAACAGTGCCACAATATGTAGACGTTTCATAAAGTATTTTGACATGGTTTTTAGCCATGATAGCTAAGTGGTACAGCAAAATCATCACACCTTAAGTCCATTTAGTGGCTGTTTGAAGCATTAGACCAAATATTCTATTTTGATAATTTCAAAGAAAGCCACCGAACAGGCTTCTAAACAACATTTTAATTGGTTTGCAAACTGAAATGGCTACTTTAATCATTCTGTAATGCTAATATAACTGTCTTTGTTTTATTCTATCCAACACTCTTGTTTCCTGATGTTCAGGGAGCATTGTAATCTCACAATACTGCAAGTCTGGCTACAGACTTTTAAGTCTCATAATATTTACATTTTTTTAATTGTTCTTATTTGTAATTTATACTTTTATCTCTGTTTTTTTAATCTTCTGTCTCTCATCTCTGTTTCCTTTTTGTTTCCAGGGAATTCCTGGCGTTCATGGGAAGAAGGGCAAGATGGGTAGGCCGGTAAAGTTTTCTCTCAACATACTTCTCCGAGAAACATTTTTTATGCCGCCCCATGAAAGTGAGGGTGTTGTTTACTTGATTTATGGACTCTTACTGTAGTGCAGAGCTACTTTAGAGAGTATTATAATACCATTACTCTGACAGAGTCCTGGCTTCAGCTATAAATCTGTGTATAGAAACTGTAATAACACCCTCTCTGGCACAGTAATGCTTAGATTACTATAGGGGGAGAAATGTGCAGCTAACCTTAGCCCTAAATAGGGTTACTGAATGTGTTAGGAACACCAGTGTTCAGGAGTCAGCAGATTACATCTATTTTCTCAATTGGTTGCCTCTTTTAAAGTCAGTAATTATTGAACTCATGTTGCAGTCAGTGGCTGCTCATCCTTATATTTTACTTGATTAATTTTCTCTGACTGGAGGTGATTAGGAAACACATTTTTTCTGAGTGATTCGTATGTTAGACGATGTACATGGTTACATGGTTACAGGGCTTGTTCTGCATTAGGCTGATATGATAATCGGATGTGTCAGTTGTGGCTTTGGCTTTCTGCAGTCTCTACCCACAGATCAGCGAAGTCCACTGTCATTGGCGCCTGGAAGTAAATTTCCCATCCTCTGTGGCTTACATGAAAAATACTGAAACTGCACGGTACCACTTATGTAAATCAGATATTTTCCCAGGCCTGTTGTGTGGCTGAACATGATTTTTTTTAAATATATATTATTATTATGCAGTGTTGGTCAGTGACACAGCTTATGAAAGCCAAGTCATGATGATGACATGCCATTTATTTTCCTCTGTGGTGGAAAGTGAGGTCAGTCACTTTATGCAACAAGCTTTATTTTTTTTCCTGAGTCAGCAGAAGTGAAGTTGGACATATTTCGGAAAAACACATGAGAGAAGAACTTCACATGTTTGATCCCACAGAGATTCAAGTGAAACGCATGTCCCTGTGAGCCTAACACAGCTTCATCCATTATATAACATATTCTAATGCCATGTGCATTTGTAGTGTTCAACAGCTCCCGTTCTTCTGTGTTTTCCTTGCAGATCTAACAGAAAAGTAACCTTCCTTATGGATTTTTTCAGTGTGTATTTCATATAAAATAGTTTGCACACAGCAGTAGGAGTTTCATTGGACCAATCACAGAAGGAAGGAGTCTTGCTAGCCTTGCAAAAAGTTGATGTCAGAGTTAAAAGGACGTACATGTGTTTCTGATAGAACCAAGCCAGTTATTGATGTTTTTGGAAACGGGCACATTTTTCCACATTTTCTGTGAGCTTCATGTTGCACCAATTACTGCTCATTTCTTCATCCACAAATAAATGCCCAATGTTCTAATTCAGCAGCCTGCCACACAAACATTTGAATTTGTGATGTCTCTTAGTGTCTTAATACTTTGATTGGATCTTTTTCTCTTGATTTATATCTGAGAATAAGATATCTCTCTGGTATTCTTCCCTTTATCATTTAACTAAGCGTAGAGCTCCTCTTCTGCGCTGAGCCTTTGTATGCTGGCTCGAATGTTGACCTTGGCACTTTGACAAGCACACGTTGAGCGTGTGGCCTCGCGGCTGCATCACGCCTCTTGTTCTGCCTCCATAATGGAATTACGAGCACCAAGCAAAAAAAAAAAAAAAAAAAAAACGACTTAGTCAGCAGTTCCGGAGCCAAGCAGCTTTATTCTGCCATTTAGGCGAGTCCTGGGGTTTTGGTTCGCGGGCTGCTGAACGCTCCCGGCCAGCATGCGCACACACAGACACTCAGTCGCTCAGAAACACTCAATCGTGGAATTTCCTGCTGCTCTCCCAGGAACGGAGCACTGGGAGCCCATTTGATGGGATTTGCTTGGCTTTACTCAGCAAACTTCTGTTTTGGGAAACACTTCGGGGGTCGGAGGATAAAGGGGGGGCTGTACACTTGACAGATGTTAAGGGCTCATGAGGAACATTTGTGTTATGGGCTTTATGATTTCATTATTTAAACTTCATTGATCCTCTTCATTTGGCATTAAAACCCTCTACTAATAACCACCAAATGAATCAATACATTTCAAATGAAAATGGCCATGTTGGCAGTGTGAACATGACATAGTCTCTCACTTTACTTTCTGGTTATCTGACAATCCTGTTTCTTTGTGTGCTCAGGGGTTTCCTGGTGGTTTTGGAGAGAGGGGACCTCCTGGCCCTGATGGAAACCCAGTAAGTGAAATGGCATACTTAAAAACGGACTATTTACTCCAACAGTTATATTTACTCCCTTTATTCCTGTTTTACTCTGAAGTCCACAACACTACACCTGGCTGAGATTTCACAAGATTTCTTACAAATAGGGCTTAAGGATTGTGTTACAAGAACTTACAAATTGACTTATGAAGGCAGATGTGCATTCACTAAAATTCCCTAAAAAGTGAGAAATCCTTTGCAGTATAATTTACGTTGTTTTTCACACAAGAATATGAAAAGGGTCATACAAGGCCATCCAAATAAATATAAAAGCATCTGTGTGGATGTGTCAGAAATGTAATAATATGGACACCACAATCAGAAGACATATAAAAGGTGATACTAAACTGAAACAGTTTGTAACACAAAAGTAGCATTAGGGATAAAGATGCAAGTGGTCAAGACAATTACAAATATTGATACTCACGTCATTGTTTTTTCCACCCAGTTCGAAAAGTAAATAATTTATGAAAAATTTCACTCTCCTTACTGCTAATACTATGTTGAAATGACTAACTGACCATAAGACAAATCCATGCAGTCATTCAGTATATTCCGCTGACCCTCGCTGCTCCTGGTTGACAAGGTCAGTTTGAGATTATGATTGGCTGACCTCTGAGGGCCTCCTTCAGGCCTCATTGCCTCACTTCCTCTGCCTCTAGGGAGAAGAGGGAGGATGTTCCATCCAAATTTAATCCACTTCTATTCATAGACTAAAGGAGGAAGCAACAGGGAGGCCACACAGCGATCTGTGTTTCATCCATCCCTCCATCGAACTCGTAGCTTGGAGACGATGAAGCCATGGCATGTGCTTGCAGGGTGGATCATTCAGAAAACAAGCTTTTCTCTGTATCTACTGCCAAGTGCTCAGTCACTCCGCTCAATTGAATGGAGACACATTTTGCTCAGGCGATTAGTGGAGCAAAACATGATTAGCGATTAGTTGAACAAAACACTTGTAAACAAACAAAACCGTTTGCTTTGATGCAACTCCACACCTCTGTCTGATTGTGCTACTGCTACACATTTTGTTTATGACTTATTTATTTGTCCTCTTAGGGTGAACTGGGAGCTCCTGGCCCATGTGGAGTCCCAGGTCTTATTGTGAGTGTTGGATCTTTCTCATTTTGGTTCCTTTTGTTTTTATGTATCGCTCTCTCTACCCCTTTAAATCCCACTTTTGTCTTCTCGCCCTCCTGGAAATCAGACCAATGTTTCAAAAAGTGCTTTATAAAAGAAAGTCTGAATCCTTACTGGGCTCCTCTTTCAGCTCAAAAAGTTTGTTGAGTGTCGTGAGCTCTAGAAACTTCAATATTTTGTCATGCTGTCAGAAGCACTGAGTATCAAAAACTCTTAAGTGCCTGGAGCTTGCATTAGATGTAATGTCTTAGTAATTTCATGTTCTGTAAGTTCTTCATTAGCATCTTAATCTTATTGGTTTTTAAAGTTTATGTTTGGTAATGGCAATTTAACATTTTTCAGACGTAGTTAACTGTTTTATACAGTGTAAAAATATGCATAGAATTATCTTGATACAGTTATGCAAATATGTTAAATAACACTCTGCCCTAATTACGGGTAATAACAGCAGCTTTGAGACAAAATACGGCCATAGGCAAACCAGAATACATTTCAAAATGTGATTATCATTCCAGCTTTTTGGAGGTTTGTCTGGACATTTAGCTTTCTCAGAAGTATCTGTGTGTCGTTGTTTGCAGGGAGACATGGGCCCTGCTGGCGTTATTGGCTTACCAGGACCACCAGGGCTCAAGGTAAATGATGCGTTCAGTCTCTGTCTAGGTTTCATATGATTACAATACAAACAGGCTGCATTTGAATGTCTTCAAGTGGTTTTCTGCCCATTATGAGTCCATTATGTGGTTGATATAAGTATTCAGTTATTCCACCGCGTCTTACAATAAGACTGCTGATTAATCAATTTAAAATATCTTTTTTTCTGTTTTTTTTTTTTTTTTAAATCATCTTGTTCCAAGGGAGTATCTGGTAACCAAGGGGAGCCAGGACTGAAAGGTGATAAGGTGATCTGCATATGTCTTTATCAGACTACTACCCTTGCCTTTACACAAATACAAGACTGTTAAAGGCGACAAACTGTTACTCGAGAGAAGGCAAACAAAGCACATGCCTTGTGTCACCCTGCACCGCTGTAACTCGCATTGATTAGATAATAATTACCAACATTTTGATAATTTTTCCTATTATTTTTGTGTGTTTTCGCAGGGGGATGTTGGCTTACCAGGAGAGCCAGGGCCTTGTGGGTTCCAAGGTGATAAGGTAGGAATGTGTTTGTCTTTAAGTCATTCATGAATAATAAGACTGGTAGTGCTAAGCCTGGATTCTCATGTCTGCATGTTAAAGTGTTATCCAGAAAGACACTAATTGCTTCTGGTGATAAGCCAAGTCTCTCCCATTGCATCTCTGTGAACATCTGTGTGTTTGCATTGTGTTTAAAAGAATGCACCTTGTTCTGCTCCTTATGAGTGTCACCCATTTACCATTTGTTATAATTATTCTACTTGTCCCTGTATGTTTACATTTTGTTGTCGACTTTTTCACTGAGCTGACATCTTTGTTTCAGGGTATCCGTGGCCCACCTGGGTTGCAAGGTCCTCTTGGAACACCTGGACCACAGGTAGTTCCAATCCCCCATTCAAGCTTTGAACCAACTAAAAAAAAAAAAGATTTAAAAAAACTAGTAGAAAGTATGTAGATGACAGGTTCTGTCATGGATATTCCACTCAAGCATGAAGGTTTATCTTTCCCATTTAATGCAACATGACAGACTCTGAATGTGCTGTAGGTAATACCCAGCAGGAACATGTTGATTTGTGGAATCTTCTTTGATCTGTTTGCTCACTAAGCAGTGATTAATGAGGTCACATTTTATCTCTGAGATGCAGAGTGTTTCCTCATTATACTCACCCCCCCCCCGTCTCACTTCTTGTATATTCTGAGTATGTGAAATATTATACAGAGATTCTTTCTGAGTGATCCATGATTGATATATTAAGTGTTGTCTAACCAATAGGGGTGAAGAGTGGAGCTTAATTAAAATTTGGTTGAAAGCTGTTTTGTGTGCGTTCTGCTGGAAATGTATAAAATGCTTGGACTCCAGAGGAAAATGGATGCAAATTTTCAAATGTATACATCAGTAAGCATCAGGGAAACACATACATGAAGGGAAATTCTGGTCAATGCAATGTATGCTAATCAAGCTCTGACACAAACAATCCCCTTTAAAGAGCAAGACACCAGAAACCTCACAGTGCAGATACTGCTTTAGCTTTGAAACTGATCCACCAAAGTTGGCACAAGTGCCGCTTGAGTTGTCCGAAATAATTCCCATGCCCTTTGATCTGATTTAAGATTGGTACTGGAAATGCCTACTTTCATTTTGTTGCTTGAGCTGCTGCTTGTTTTGACAGATTATTTTCCTGCCCTTACTCCTGTCACATTCAGTATCTTACCTCCACAGCAGTTGGTTGATTTGGTAAAGTGAAGGCTGCAACTTAAAAAAAAAGACAGTGCCCTGCTATCCGAGAGAAGATGCACAAAGTAGATTAAATCAAATAAATGTTATAACCTGATGTTTTAAGACTGTGTAATGACATTGAGATCATTTGTGACATTTCTTAGGGCAAACCAGGTGAAAAGGGTCCTGATGGTATACCTGGCCCTCCTGGCCTAGAGGTAAGACAGACTCAGTTTACTTACATATATTTTTTTAAAGCCTGGACGGGGATGTTGTTACACAGCGTAATATGATTACTGTACTGTGTGCATGAAGTATGCTACAGTGTGCTGATGTGGTTCCTTTTCTCACAGGGCTTCCCAGGAGACATTGGCCCACCAGGACAAAATGGCCCTGAAGGACCAAAGGTTAATAGAGTGACTAAAAGCTTAGAAATACATCAAAAGTGAATCAAAAATGAATTCAAAGTTCACATTTAGTTTTTCATCCACAGGGAAAGCAAGGGACAAGAGGTCTGCCAGGTCCAAGAGGAATGCTTGGACTTCAGGTGGAGTGAAATGCATTTTGAATAACAATAAAAAAATAGAAAGCAGCCTGTCTTTACCTGACCTTATGTGAACATTTCTTTGTCAGGGTGATGAGGGACCAGTTGGGCCAGCTGGACTCTCTGGACTCGAGGTGAGTGCTGATTGGATGAGCCCTTTAACTCAAGAGCAGTTAGAAAATACAACAACACCGTTATCTTTTCCACACACACACACACACACACACACACCACAATACTTACTACACTCCATCGCTAGCCACCCGTCTCTGCCTAAATGACGGCTTGGATCAATCATTACGGCTGCTCCTTGGCCGTCTTATGTCTTATGTCTATTGTTTTAAAGCTGTTTTCAGAGACTTCCTATGGGACACTATGTTCACGCTTTACCAGAATGGTCAGCAAATTGCTATTCTCTTCTAACAATAAAAAAAACACAAACAAAAGTATATGTCTTTAAATGTCAAGCAAAAATGTTTACTTGTATCAAGTTTTGAGATAAATGTACAGGAAAATAATCATTTAAATCACAATCCAGGCAATATCTCTCCCGGAGGTCAAAAGTGCAGTTAAGTTGGGATCGAGGAACACTGAAATAGTTCACAGTCCCTTTTGTTTTAGTTTTTTTAACCTCTCCACTCTACGTAGATTTATACTCTGAACATAGAACATAGAGGATAAAGAGGCTTTGCAAGACAAATGGGTTACTTAATAAGATACAAACAGGATGACTTTGAACTTTTCAACACCGTAAATTAAAGTCAACAGAGCAAAAACAAACAAGAAGAATTGTTTGTTTGGAGTCATCCAAAGCTAAACAATACATAAGAACTCCACTGAAACTCTATTTTTGCTATAGTTGACTCAAGTCTGCCATCTCCCAAAAGTGCAACTCACAAGTGATAGCTGAAAAACAAACATAAATGACCCAATGACTTGTGAGAGTAATAAGAAGCCTTTGATGCTGCAAACAGCTCTCTGTTTTATGGATCATTAAGTTTCTTAAAGGGATGTTTTTGTTTTGGCATCAGTGGCTGTTTTGTTTTGTTCCTCCGCTTCTCGTGGGACGACAGACTCACAGACTGTACCTTTCACAGGAGTTTTTTGTTTGTTGTGTACAGCTGCGGTGCTCTTCTCTGTGTCATTTTCGCTTTCTGTTCAGGGCAGACCTGGGAGGCAGGGATTCCCTGGACTGACAGGCCCAGATGGACTCAAGGTCAGACCTAATAGTCACATATTTTACACAGAAACACTGTCATCCTTAAATGAACATTCTCTCTCTGGCTTTTTTTTATGATAATGTATCATCTGAATAAGTGTAAATTAGATGTTAATTCTCCCTTACCACAGGGGAACCTGTCTCCGAGCACATTTCAGCTGAATCAAACTAAAAATGAAAGGCATGAATAAGTTTGTGATATGCTAATTGTCTGCATTGCTGTAGGGCGAGACCGGGATAACTGGCGAGGTCGGAAAGCTTGGCGAGAGGGTAAAGACTTTCCTCCCTCTCTCTGCTGTTTGATGCTCAGTATGTGTCTCTGTGTGTGTCTATTTTGTTGGAGTCCCAAACGCTGTGCAGCCTAGTATGAGAAAGCTAACTTCAATTGAGTTAAAAAAAAAAAAAAGAGACAGTTAAGACAGCTTGTTTTCTCTTCTTCAGGGGATGCCTGGTTTTGTCGGGCCTGTCGGAGAATCGGGCATCGCCGGAGAAAAGGTTAGTAAGGTCTCAATTTGCCAAACTTTATAAGCATCACAGTGTATTGTTGTTGTTAAGTGTCCAATTTTAGAAATAGCTCTTTGTTGACGTAGCGTGGGATAGAAGCTGAATTCATGTGTCAAATACAGATGATTTGATAACATACTAGTGTTTAAGTCAATTACCAAACAAAAGTGTCAAACCTTTGCTTGTACCAGCCACTCACTACTCACTGCATTTCTCTGTGTTGTGTTAATGTTAAGAAAATATCTTTGAGTTTTGGACTACTGGCAAGACAGAACCATTTTTACATTTTCTAAATCAATGCTTGATTATCAATTTTGGAAATGAATTAAAAAAAAGATTTAGGTGCAGCTTTACCTGTTATGTTTCTCCTAATAAAAGCTTGTGTTTCTTTAGGGGGATCGAGGGAAAACTGGCATTCCTGGGCCGCCAGGTGAACCGGGGCCGATGGTAAGGAGTAAGTCTGGACCCTGTCTCTCATACCAGGGGGGCTCAATTCTGTATGCATAAAGGAAGGGTATGTGATATGGATAGAGAGAGTGATTTGAGAATATAAGCCCATTAAGTTTTGTCAGAAATCTGAAGACTAATTAATGTTTTCTTTGGGTAAATCACATTGAAATCATATGAGTTATGTTGTATCAATCAGGGTCACACTGGAATACCTGGAGAGTCGGGGCCACCTGGACCACAAGGGATCCCAGTGAGTACTTGAATCATTAACAAAGCTTTATGTGCACTAAATGTGAACAGGGGACAAAATTGACCTGATGTCCACTTAACTGGGCCCAATGTGAGACTCAAATACTATGCTGAAGAGCTTCATCCGTCTGTTAAAGGCCACATTTGTGTTGCCTTTCTATCCATAACAATCAGAACCGTTTGTCATTGTAGCTAAGTGAGAAATGAATCGTCTGAAGTACAGCCGAAACAACCTTTTTAACTTGTTTGAATTTGAACTGAAACTAAAATATTTTATTAACTTAATATGTCAGCCCAATATATGTAAAGGCACTAAAATAATTTAGCATGTTATGATGAAAATATAATGCCAAAAAAACTTGATCTTCTGAGTTTTTTTTAAATGGTTGGTTTGAAAGTAAACTTAAGTCAAGGCAGTCTTGTCTATTTTTATGCTAATGCTTCTAATTTTTATCAAATTAAGTTGAGGCAACTGTGACATAGTCTTGTTTGTTTCAGTCATTCTCAAAGATTTTTTTTCATACACATTCAGGGGCCTCCTGGTTCACGGGGATCCATCGGCATCAGAGGCCCCAAAGGTATAAGGGTGAGTAACTGAGATCTGCGTCATCCATTAAAGAACATGTAACCATTGTTACCAATGGAAATGACACACCAGTTCAATTAAGAGTTTGGTCTATTATTTTTGTTGAATCTTAAATATCAAGACATGCTCCACAGAGTATTTCAATGTGTCTAATATTTTGCCAAAAACAACCAGAACGTAAGACTTTCCCATCAGCCTCAGCAGTTCTTTGTGTTTACTACTTTACTACTTTAACAAATGTTAGCCTGCTAGTATTCTAAACTAATTAACATCCTAAACATATACCGACCATGAGCATGACAACATTTTATTGTGATTTTTTAAAATATAATTTTATCATTAAGCTGAAGCCTCACTGTGGGGCTGTATACTTTTACGTTAATCTGATGGAGTAAACATGAGTAGTTAACCTGAGCAGTGATGGTCACCTTCACTTAGCAGACCATGAAAGAGACCAGAGAAACGCACATCTCTCAGAACACATCCTACCATCCACAGATTAAAAAAAGAAAAACCTTTAAGGAGTGCAGCACAAAAACTCCATGCTCCACTCCAGCCTGTTGCTCCACTCAAACGCAACAGGCTGAATCTGTATCTATAATAGTAAAGTATATGAATTCTAACATGCTAATCAGATATGCAACACATCTTTCTACATGATGTTAAACATGGTAATATGTGTCTGCTGCTTTGTCTGACGTGAAGTCTGAATAATTTTCCTTAAATGGGTTTCTACTTTGGGAAAATAGCCTTTGGTTGCACAGCAGGATCATTGGACTGCATGAATAATTGATCTAACATGAATAAATGGTATAATTAAGGCTTTTAATTCTGTGGATCTATTTAACATGGCTCCCTTGATATCGCGAGCAGTCACAGACGAAAATTTTTAATAACTATAATAGCAGAAAATTGCATCAAAGATTTGAAAATAGAATTAAGTCCAGAATGATTAAACACCACTCTCCCCTATTCTAACATCTGATGTTATTCCCAGTCAATAAGTATTGAAAAACAGTAACATCCTTTTCCATATGCCCAATATTATTTATTTAAAAATCTTAAATTACCAAAAAAGGATGTCAATAGCTATTTTATTAATAACAAATGTTTTCTGGGTATATTCCTTAAATAAATATGTGTGTGTAGCACACTAAATTAATTATAGAAATTGGAGACAAATGGTTGTGTGTGCTCTACTGTCTTGTTATAAATTTTAAACTTTACTTATTGAGGCTGTAGTCATGTTCCAGTCATATTTCAGCATTATCCCACCCTGACATTCATTTAGTTTAAAAGCTTCTTTGCCCCCCATCCAAAAGCGAATCCACGTAATCAAAGCCACATTTCAATCTTAAAAATTAAGCATTTCTTCCATTTGGGAGCAAGACATTACCATCATTTCATTGTCGAGTTTTTCCAAAGCTTTCCTAAGTAAAAAGCCCTCAAAGAGGTGCAGTTAAAAGGAAGCCTCAAGCTAATGTTCCTGTTTGGATTGAATGGATCTGAATAATGATTATCAATGAAGGGTGGGATGGTGGTTACTGATAATTACTTTACTGCAAAACATGCCAAGTCATGTCAGACTCATACAACTGATATTTGATGAACAAATGGATGAAAACCAATGAACTGAGAAAGCTTCAGAATTCTCCATACATTTTCAGCAGTCATTTTTAACTTAAATACACATTTCCTTAAAGAGACAATAGCTTACTTTAATGCATTAGAGGTTTTTATTGAAGCGTTTGTCTCTGTATTATTTTTTACTCTATTTGGGTCTCCTTTGTACAATATTCTTTCATGGACAACTAGTACAGTCAACCCTTCAATATTTAATGACAGTGAAAAGTTTGGTTCCATTTTAATGGTAAGAATGAATCATCTGCAGGATTTGTGACCTTTTCTCAAAGCTTCTTTACAATAACCCCAGTGTGCAGGCGGCACCACTGTGTGCGATCGCAGAAACATGGGGACAAAGTCTACCCTGTGTGGATTGGGCATCCTTCAAAGCTAATTTGTAGATGCCAAGTATTTGCAAAATAGCCACCATCTTTGATGATGTCCCTCCAATGTAGGCCAAGCCACATATTCCAATCAAACCCAGAGAACTGCCTCCCAGGCTGAGTGTAATAGGGTGGACAAAAATGGAGATGAATTGGCCTAATTTATTGACGTGACGATGTCAAACATCATGCGTCTCAGGCCTGTTTGAGGCCAATTTTTCCACAGATATTCATCAGTAACAACTTTTGTTTGAATAGGGTCCGTGGGGTCCTGATGGCCCAGTTGGAGAGAAAGGATCCGCTGGAGTAAAGGTAAGCCAGTAAAGATTAATACATATTTTCAGAGTTTCTGATTCAAAGTATTTGGTTTCTTATCGATAGTACTTACCTGAAATGGCTATGAGCACTGTCTGGCTTTCAGCTTCTTAATTCTAAACCTGTCTCATGCAAAGTAAGGATGAACCAAATGGACCAAGTTTCTGTGGCAGAGGAAAAAGAAAATCAAGAGAACATTTGTGAGCTGCTTTGTTCGTCAGGCTGTAATTATAAGATATTTTTAACTTCTAAAGATTTTGTAGAGGACATTCTTTGTTAACTACAAATCTAACAGCAGAACGTTAAATCACAGACTACTTAAATATTGATGGTGCTGGTGGTGCTAGGCAGGCAGGAACATTTTAACTCCTGAGGATTTCAGAATGCTAAGTGGACTGAGTTGGATGTTTTCTTTTCAGGGCCTCGATGGTCCTCCAGGAAAATTGGGCCTCTTTGGGGAGATGGTAAGGGAAAAATTGTTCTTTAATGTCCCCTATTTGCAGAAAAAGTAGATAAATAAACTACCACAAAAAGCAAAAAAGTCCAGAACAAGTTAAACGTCCAACATTTTGCTGTTTAAAAAGCAGATGGACTAAAAGTACAACAATTCTTGTTTTGGAGAAAATTTGCTTTGTGGGCATTCAAAATTGTAATGAACCAAAAATATTGATTATGTCCTGCGACATACAAGTGTTCGTAGCATCATTCTGGTTCGACCGAAAATAACATTTCACATCGCAATAATTATAATACATTTTCAGTGTTAAATCATATTCTAAGATAAGATAAGATAACAAGCAACTATTATAATCAACAACAACAACAAAAATAAGAACCTTTTCCCATTTGAAATGTTGTGGTGTAGAATTATGAAGTTTAAAAAATGGAACCACTGTAAGAATATATATATATTTTAAAACTTCTAAGCAATTTATCAAGGAACACACTGAAATTATTACCCTCAAAGACAAAAAGCTTCCATTTCCAATCCTTTAAATGTAATTAGCAGTTCTTCTCTACTTTATGTCATTTAAATGAAAAATCTTGGTGACAATAAAGACACTCTTTCACACAACCTGTGATTAGCATTTTATGAAACAACAATTTTATGAAATATCAAGACCAAACAGTTTAAGGAACAGATAGATAATTAGAATAACCTTAAAGGGGTTATATGTAACTTTTTACATGTATAAATCATTTTTTAGCGCCCATTAATAAGCAAACGGTTAACTGATGTGATGTTCACTGTCTATCTGTGTTGCCTGTATGAAATCTTTCTCCGAGTCTTATTTTCCGCGAAAGCTCCAGGAAGTGACATTTTTTGCACGTTCTCAACGTCCTCCTCACTCCGCTCCGCTTACAGAGATCAACAGCACAAACTCATCACACACTCTCGGTCTTCACCTGCACAGCCAGAGGCCGTCTTCCTCACACTTCTATCCGCCCTAAGAGCTCTCAAAGGCAGACAAACTCATCACACACTCCTGCTCTCAGCCAGTGCCTGCAGAGACTGTCGTTTGTAGGATGGAGAATGAATACAGACACACAGACTCCTTCACAGACTTTCACATGTGTATGACCACTTACCTCCTCTGTAAACATTATGCCGGTAAATATCCAGTGTTTCACGGCCGATGATGATGCTCGTTTGTGTTTGTACGAGAGGGAGAGCGAGCAACAGGTTACTGGTGCAGTTCGCCAACGGCCATGCGGTATCGCTACAAACGCAGTATTTTTGAAAGTTACATATAGCCCCTTTAACTTTCAATCCTAAATGTAATTAACAGTCAACTGATGTGTATAGTTATTTAGACTTTCTGTCTAGTCTGTCAAGGAATCTAAATAGGCATTCACCACCAAATACACCAACAACAATATTCCAAAAACAATTTTCGCCTTTTAGCATAAAACTTACTTTTCCATTTGTGTGATTTTACTGCAGGGAAAGCTTGGCGAGCCAGGTGAAGCTGGGCCTAAGGGATTTCCAGTAAGTGATTGTGCCTAACAGAGGCATCTTTTAGGGTCAGTCTTCATTTTTTGGGATGGACTCATTTCGGGGAGAAGTGTTGGATAGGAGCACATGTTTGTACCTGAATGCCTATAGTGTATGTGTTACAACTGTGCTTTGTTATTGTCTAGGGCATCCAAGGACCCTCAGGGCCTCCAGGGGCCAAAGGAATAGCAGGAGAGCCTGTAAGTTTTTTGATTTACATGAATTTTGGATGCATACTTGAGAATAAACCCCACTATAAAAGACACTCTGTAATAATCATTTTTTTGGTCGATTTTTACTCCAGCCTGTTCAATTATGTGAAATTTTGGAAGTTGAAAAATATCTTTGAAAGAGTTAAGTCGGAAACCTCTAGTGTCTCATTATCTAAAATAACCTGTGGCTCTCCAGCACCCACTGGGCACCCTCCTTCTTGCCCTTGCATATAAACTCTAAATTTCCACTTTGACACCTTTTATTCAGTGCCTCCCAGAAACCCATATCAAAGCCCTGAACAACCGAATCCTCTTTCTCGTGTCTGCCCTCGTCCCACAGACACAAACAGAGAAGAAGTGAGCCTGAGACAATTTGATTTACACCACCTCTTTCCTAGAAAGGCAGCTTTATTGTCGCCTGAAAACAGCAAGCCTGGTTCCATCACTTGCAGAAGCTTTGGCTCAGGGTTTTGAAGGCTCTTAGCCGTGCAGATTAACTTATCTCCACAAATCCACACTTTCTGCCTGGTTCTTATTTCTTTTCACATTTTTCCTCCTTGACTGTCACTTTTAGAAGTGTTTGTCCAAGCTTTGAGAGTGCATTTACCCTTTTATTGATGCCTCTGCCTCCCCCCGCAGGGACCAGCAGGGCCACCAGGAACCATTGGACCACTAGGGGAGATGGGACCAATGGTGAGTTTGATCACACAGCTGGGGTTAGAACCCCAACAGATTTTTGTATTAGCACTGGATACTTGAGGCTATTATTGTTTTTCACAGGGGCCGACAGGGAAGGCTGGAGAGAGGGGACTGCCTGGTGAACGTGGAGAGAAGGTAAAGTTGACAATGGGCTATTGAGATTTTCATTGGTTCCTGAGATATTGGACAGGTAGATGGATGCTAATGTTTACACCAATGCTCTTAATGGTGACAGATGGTCAATTTGAGCCTTTTTTAAGAACACAAATTATCTTTTTGGGAGACATCATTATCATGCAAAGTTGAATTTAATTCCATCAAACAAAAATCTAATACCAGTTAATTACATATATTTTTTTTCATTTTTATTATCCACATGAGGGCCAAATACTGTCATGTGACCTGTTGAACTCTTGGACACTCTCACAGTGTGTCTCACTTGCACTCCGTTCTGTTAACTTTGAGGTTTTCCTGCAGAGCTTAGCATTAGAGCAACAACTTCAGCCAACTAGAAGACTGGAGAAGATCATTTTAAATTGTCTGTTTTTTCTCCTGTGAGATTGCATGTAGGATTGAGCATTACTAAGATGAAGGGAAATAGCCCAGAGAGTGACCAGTAAGTACTGTTAACTAAGCTGGTAGACTAGCAAACTACCTGCTAAGATAGCTAGGCAGAGGCTAAAAAGTGAAATGTCATTATGATGGATAAAGCTAGTTCTGTTACAAACTGTTTTAACTTTTACATATTTAGACTGCCACAGTGCTTCTACACAACTAGAAACAGCCAATCAGAAATAATTGATTGTAAGATTGGTTCTGTTCACCGATGAAAATAATCAAGTTAAATTGATCTTTTTTTCCATGTTGTTTATGTGCTTGAAGATATGTTTTCTGTACTTAGAATGTTAATTTGCGTACCACGGATAAATGCTGAAAAGGCTAGTTTACACAAAGATACAACATATCTGAATGAAAGACTTAAACCCTACAATGTTTCGTCTCATGACAGGGTCCTGTTGGTCTACCTGGCAATATCGGAGAGCAGGGTTTGATTGGCCAGAGAGTGAGCATCCCATGTTTTCCTTCTTTTATGACTTGAGTGATTTAAAATATGATGACTTATTTGGCAAACTACTAAAAAATACTCTAAATCAGTTTCAGAAGGTATCAATGTTTGGCCTTCTAGACATGTGTTTTTGTTTCTGTTGATTTTAGCCATTGCAAAACCAAAATCTATTCAATCTATAATCTTGGTGCGTTTCGTCTATCAGGGGGAGCCAGGCATTGATGGAGAGGCTGGAACAAGTGGACCTGATGGAGTCAAGGCAAGTAAAAAAGAAATAAAGGACACATTTTGATTGACATGATTGTCAGTAACTTAACTCAATAAACACTATGGATTTTTTTCCTGAAGCTTAGTGTCTGTGAACGCTCCTATTCACTGTCGCAGCTTCATGTTATTAGAGCATGCAGAGTATCGTGTGTCAGATATTGGCTGTTGTACAGTTGAAGCGGCATTGTTTTGACATTTAGTGAAAACAGACACGGGTTATTTTAAGAGCTCGTAAGTCTGGCAAGCACAGTGACAGGGAGAAAAAATGATTCAAAACACAAAAAGGCTGCCTATTCAGCAACGCTACACTGCTCAAAGTATGGATGACAGACCCACAAACAGCTTCTGGCTCAGTGGAGGAGGTAAAATGTGAACTCACAGACGACTAGAATAGAGTCAACGTGAGAGTGTGTGGAGCTCTGTGCTGTACAGGACGTTTTCTGTTAGTCAGGAGAGTAAAACGCTCCGAGTGCCTCTTGGCCACCGTGAAGCTCCTGGATGGGAAGCAGCAGCTCAACAGGGATCTTGCAGTGTTAACTGCTTGGAGAATTTAAGGCAGTGGGTTGTCATGGTTCATTGTCTTACTGATTGGTTTAAATTATATCAGCTGCCTCCTACCAGTTGTCTGGAACAACATGAACATTAATTCTGATATGGTAGGAGTATCATGTGAGAACAAAAGCTTGTTGTTCTGTATCTGTAAAATGAGTTGCTTCAGTGAAGAGTCATTGTAATAAACATTCATTAGATTGAATTAGTCAGGCTTGTAAGAGCATGGAGACCAGAACAAAATGGGAAACAAACTGTTTTTGGATACAGGACTTGGAACACAGGAGAAGCTACTGAAAATGTAATGAGTTCAAAGCTTTGCTGGACAGTTTGTTGAGAGGGGCATGCTGGGAAAATGAGTCAAACAGGGCTGTGAAAGCGGTAGAGACAGTGCTGTTCTTTTGAATTTATCCAGGTCAGTTTGACATGTTAGCTGCTCACAGAACTGCTTGCCTGCTCTAAATGTTTGGTTTAACAACAGTTTTGTTGAGTAAAATTGCTTCAGTACTGAGGCCCATATGTGTCATCAAATGTACTGCTGAGCCTCGGACCACCATCAGGCATTAAGTGATGCTCTTGAACAACCTGTCAGGTCTCTGTGACATCCTATTTTCCATCTAACAAATATTTCCAAATTACAACCCGTTGTGTCTCCCTAGTAAATGCTTCGTGTCATTAGGTATAAACTACTGTATCTCTTTGTTTACATGCCAAAGAGGCCACTGTTTTAAGTGGCCTTACTTCAGAATGATGTGTTCAGACTTTTATGTAGAACAGGCTGGGGAGCTCAGATGTACCCTGTCTAGATTTTATGTCTCTGCAGTGTTATAGGATGTTTTAAGATTTTATTCATAACCTGCAACACTCCAAGAATCAGAGTCTGACTCAGTTTTGGGAGACTGCATTTATCAGTTCTTTCTGACTGTTTGACTGCCAAGCATCAAGAATAAGGGTGTCTAACATTTTATTGTACAGCTTTTTAAGGCCTTGTTATTACATTTTTGAAGACATTTGATAATTTGATAAAGTGCAATGTCAAGTAGAGGATAAATAGCGCGGACATAACTTCGATTTTTTGTAATTTCTGAAAACATTTTCTTATTTTTACTCTTCTTCTCAGGGAGAAAAGGGGGAACCTGGTCCAGAGGGTGCTATAGGAGACAGGGGGGAAATTGGTCTGAAAGGAAAGGAAGGACCTGTTGGTCCTCCTGGTCTGCTCGGTGTAAGGGTGAGTGTCTTCCATTCAGTTCCCAAAAAGCACAGCTCTTCTTACTCGCTTATATCCCTGTTCGATTTTCTTTCACCAGGGTCAGGAGGGGAAACCTGGTAAAATTGGTGAGAGAGGAAAACTCGGAGAAAAGGTTTGTCAGTTCACTTACTTGCTTGCAGCTAAAAAAACACTTTTGATTTAGGAATGTGTCTACTCATTGTGCAAATGGTGGAATTGTTCTCTGGTGTGTCAGTAAACAAGCTGTATGGCAAATAACCTCCTAAAGGATGACGGTCAGAGTGCAGTCAAATAGACTTTCAGTATTAAATCTTTAAAATGTAAAAATGTGCTGACAATTCTTCATGGAAGTTTGTGTACTCAGTGAGTACTTGTTCATTTACTGCCTCTCTCCAGGGGAGCAAGGGTCACCAAGGACACCTTGGTGAGATTGGCCCAGTGGGTGAGCAGGCGGAGATCGGGTTTGTCGGGCAGAAGGGAGCAAGAGGAACTATCGGGCCAGTGGTGAGACATCCAAAAATGTTTAGATGGACGTTTTTTGTTGTTTGTGGGTGTGTGCTGAACACTGTATTTATATTTCCCCAGGGTGCTCCAGGCAGAATGGGCCAACAAGGTGAACCAGGCATATCAGGTTATGAGGTACGCAGTGATGGAAAAAAAATATTTAGTTGTAGTTTTTGTAAGTGAGGGACATACAGCAATTTAAGTAGTGACTACTAACATCTTTAGGTCTGGAGAATAAAGAGTTTTAGGAAGCCCTCTCTGTCTTTTGAACTGTAATATATTGTATGAAAATCAAAAACTTTGGTGGTTTAGGTAAATACAAGTAGGCTGTCTCGGTGATATGAATGTTCCAAGATGAAAATGTGAAGAGGAAAAATGGAAGCGATTCAATAAATCCATCCATAATTAAATCATCTTCTTACCCTCACACTGACTCTGGATGACAAAAAGAATACGTTTGGAAGGTATTTAATATGGATCTATTTTCCATATGCAACATTATTGGAAGACAATATCTTCTTCTGTATCCACTGTTGGATGTATCCTCGAGTAAGATTATTGTTTCAAGCAGCAGTTGGATGAAAATCACTCTTGTTTTAGCGAATAACTTAACTTTCTGTAGTTGTGTTTGCCAGGGTAATATGTAACATCTTATCTTTATAATTGCTGTTGTGGATAGAGGAAAAAGTACAACTTTAATTTATGTTTCTATTTAGTGCCGACCTGTAGAGGGCAGAATGTTGTCACCAAATAACGTTTTAGGATAGGGAGGTCATACAAGGAAAAATACGTTTCAGTTTCCTGTGAGTTATTTCTGCTCCCAGCCAGCTAACTAACCATGACAATGAAAATGACACCTACTGTTAGTCAGTGTTTCTGTATAAGATTAAACAACACACTGCTCATTTATTTTGGAAATAAAATGTTATTATTAGTTGGTGGATGTGTATGCACATATCAGAATCAAGGTAATGTTTGAGGTGAGACATTGATCATAAGAAAACAGTTCAATCAATTTGCCGTCACATATATCTAGACTTGAATGATGAATCACAAAACTGCATGGCAGGGAAGACATAGCGATGATTAATGACGCTGTTGTAATTTCAGTGTTATCCTCTACTGCCACATGTGAATCAGTCTTACTCTTTACAAAATGAACATAATATATCACACATGTAATTAGAGTAAAGGAAGGGAGGTAACAGTTTTGAAATTAAACTCTTTCTCTTTGTCAAAGGGTCACATGGGACTGCAGGGACCTCTGGGACCAACGGGTCCAAAAGGTGAAAAGGTATAATCTAACAATTAAATCATGTCCCTTAGAGCTGTCTGCACTTTAGATTGTGTCTAACGAGCTCTGGTAACATGTAATGGCTGCAGTATTCAACAAACACTCACAAAGGCCATTGTCTTTGACTGCTCAGCCAGTTTTTCTGATGCATTGGACTTTAAGTTGTGTCTCTAATTAGTGCTTCGCCTGCCTGTCTTATTGTCGTCACAGTAATCTCTAAGTCATCACTGATTTGAACCCAGACTGGTCTAATTAACTCAGCGCTGTGAAATGTATATAATTACCCAAACACCTGGACTTTTCTGCTCATGATTTTGGGGGCATTAGCACTTTAATTTGTGTTTATTTGACAGTAGCAGCACACAGTGAAACACACCACAACAGAGTTTAGCGAGACCTTAATTTGCATGTTTTTGTCCCTAGGCAGGAGCCATCTGGATGTTGATATTTTCTATTTTGTCTTTGCCAATAAACTGAAACACTGTGTTTGCTCTCTAATTAAATCAGCATTATGCAATCACATGGGTTGTTGAAAATTGTATTATCATCAATTGGGAGAGTCAGGTAACTGGCATTAGCCTATGCTGCAGATAAATACAGCTCTATGTCACTGTTATATTAAAGCCTAATGCTTCAATATACATGCAAGTTCCTATTTGTTTGGCCCCTGACCATGACTAATCATTCTCATACTTTCAAATGCCTGTTGGGCACCTATTTTATTTATTTCATTTGACACATGCTGAGCACATGACTATTAGAATCGTACACACATCTGTGGTTATTGTTTAATGAATCCCATGAAGACCCTGAAACAGACATTGGTTCCATTTGTGTGGGTTCATTGAGGTTAATAGCGCATGTAATGATTTGCCCTTCGTATGAAGACAGCAGGATATGTTTCCATTGTTACACTCTTTTAAACAAAGCATGCATTGATTTTGCACAGACTTTTGGGTTTAAGTGAAATTCCATTGATTACCTTTGTTTGTCGGTTTCTGTATTGCTTGTTCAGGGTGAACAAGGAGACGACAGCAAGGCAGAAGGTCCTGCAGGCCCCCAAGGTGACAGAGTGAGTTTCTCTCATGTACCGGTTTGTCCTGTTGTTTATTAGCGGTCCTCTAGTTTGTTTAATTAATGTGTTGCCAATTAAACTAAGGGTCCTCCTGGTGACCGAGGAGAGAGAGGAGAGGCTGGTGACCCCGGGCACACTGTGAGTGAGCTGACTTATTCTCTGCTTTTGTTTTAAGGTAAACTGGATTTTGTATACTAAAAGAATCATTGTTTTTCAGGGTCAAATAGGAGTTGATGGAAAGAGAGGTGAAGCTGGTGCCCAAGGAAATCCTGTAAGTGTCTCATTTATATCAGCACCTGTGTCGGATCGGACTTAAAGCTGCTCGTTTGCACTTACTGTTTCCTCCTTTCTAGATCTTTGCTTGTTTTTTACTTACTCTCTGATGTACGCCGCTTTGGACAAAAGTGTCCGCTAAATGAATTGTTGAATATCTCTAAGATATACAAAGACTGTTTCAAATGGTTCAAAGCCAAACTGTGTAATCCAAATGTAACAGTGATGATTATTTTAGGGACATCCGGGACTAAAGGGACAAACAGGTTGGAAAGGATCCAAAGGAGACCAAGTAAGGACATAAATAACAGCTATGTGCTTGGTATTGACAAAACTTGATATGTGTGTGCATGTAGCCATGTCATAATTGTTGAACATGAACTCTTAATGCTTACAGGGTCGGAAAGGAAAATCAGGGGCAAGAGGAGAATCTGGGACCAAAGGACTACCAGTGAGTTGGACATGCTTTTTTATTTAAACATATAATCAGGCATAATTTCTAGTCAAGCATGTTCATATTACTATTTAAAACCAATGTTAGCTTTTAAATAAACGTTTGCGATTGTCTTTTCTTAGGGTCCAGAGGGTCCTCCTGGTCCACGGGGAGTTGTGGGCAGGGAGGGACTTGAGGGCCCGCTTGGCATGGATGGACTGCCTGGTAAAGATGGAAGTAAAGGAGTAAAGGTGAGGACAGTTTCTTTTGTGTGTCTCTCAAGTGAGTACGAATAAAACCAGGTCTGATTGATTATGAGAACTCTGTTCTGTGTTTAGGGGGAGCAAGGAGAAGACGGAGACGTGGGCTCTCCTGGCAAACCTGGCCTGCGGGGTACACCTGGTGTCATAGGACTTCCTGGAAGTCAAGGCTCCTTTGGGCCAAAGGTGAAAATGATGGGTGCACAATGGGTGTCATTTTTCTTCACTTTAGTTGATTGGATTCGGACTAAAAAGTATTGACCTTTATTCATGACACTCTTTAAACATACAGTTTATCACAATATGTCGTTTTTATTTGGACCAATATCAAGAGAGAATTGCCAATTAAGCTTCAATCTGTCTCTCTAAGCAGGGTAATGTGGCCTTTATATTCTGAGGTTGTATCTAATCGGAAAGGCCAAACTCTGCATTTCTCCAAAGACCTCCTAATCAATGCAAGCATCCTGGGAAGCCAACAATATGAAAAGAGTTGGCAACACTTTGATTTGCATTACCTTGCCAGTGATACATGAATTTTCCACTAGCATGATTTTCTGAAATACCGAGAGACTTTATTGTTGGCTTCATGTAATTGTCACTTCATGCCTATGGTTAGGAGACCATGTTCTGAACTTCTTTGGAATGTATCGCTGTTTAACATGCAAACAATGGCTCTACAGTATTTTGTAATTAGAATCTTAAAACTATTAAATAGATAAAAAAAGCACCAGCCCATCACTGTCCAGATCCCACTTCAGTCCCTGGTAGTGGTGCTTGTGCTCCATTAAATAAAAGTGCCTGTGTGCATTAGTGGGAAGCCAGTGAGGGATCACAAGCTGCTCTCTGCATTTCAGACTTTTTACTGGTTTATCTGGGTGAGTGTTCAGAGGTTACAAAAGGAAGTGGAAAAAAGGAAGATATACATGTAATAGATGTGTGTTTTTGTATTTTTTCAGGGTGAGAGGGGTCTATCAGGACAAACTGGTGCATCAGGAAAAAGGGGATCTGTTGGTGGGATGGGATTGCCAGGAAAACAAGGAGACTCTGGACCTAAAGGACAACCAGTGAGCGCGACCTGTCAAAGAAATATTACATTTGAATTCCATGATATTACAACTTTTGGTGACGGTAACTATACTTATCCTTAATTTGTGTATCAGGGGGACACTGGTGAGCAAGGATACCCAGGGGTGTTTGGTATGTTTGGACCAAAGGTAAGATCTCACATCATGCTTCAGTCAGTAGAGAAATGTTTGACCTCAAATCACTCAGACCTATAGACTTTTCCAGTCAAGCTAGAGTGTTTGACCTGTATGTAGAGTTTGGTGGCATCTAAAGGGGAGGTTGCAGGTCTTAAAGCAAGTCCCTGTAGAGCCAGTGTTTGGTCTGTCTACTCTGGGCTGTTGTGGCAGACTCCATAGAAGAGGTCACACTCAGTCTGTGTTTGTAAAGCACTTTTTCTAAGTTAAAAACACAATTCCTATTTTCAGGTTATTATGTACGAATGAATATATATTTATGACTATGACACTTGTTCATCAAATAGAGCCCACTAACTCTACCACACTGGTCTTGTAAAGTTAGCCTTGTGATACGGCTGTGAGAAAGTAACATTACGGCAAAAGTAGTCTCTGGGTTCAACTCGCCTTTTTGCTCAGGTACTTTTTAGTACCTGTTTGATTGTGTGAAATTGTCTGGTGGTACATTATATAATATGGTGTTCAGTAAAAGTGGAAGTTTGAAGTTATTACTGTAACGTGCCTCAGGATGACATCTGCTACAACATAAGCCTGCTTTACTTCCAGCCCTGCTGTCTGGTAGATTATTGACAGCTGAAGAAACAGAAGCTCACTCCTTAATTTGAAACCCTGAGAGGGACGTTGGATATGTCACTACAGAAGGGGGTGAACAAGAGTGTGAAGCAGATGATCTTTGTGTTTGGTTTTAGTTATGTTTACAATTGCTTTACATCATTAACAATAAGTGAGATTAATTAGAATTAAGACCACCGATAAAAAAGCAGAATAAACTGTGTGAATATCAGAAGTCATGACGTTATTATGAATGCATAGATTGGTAAAAGCATCATTATTAAGCATACTGTATATAAGATGATACTTTCATGTGTTTACAATATGGTAGCTGTATTAAGCTTTCCCACTTAGTTTCTGCCTCAGAACCAAGCGATCTTAATGAGCGTTAATTCTTTATGGAACTATAAAAGGGAATTCAGAAAAACATCATAGTTGAAAACCATGAATTGAAGAGTAGAATGAGTTCAAACCAACACCAACGAGTGTTGAGAATGGACACAGCTTTAACAAAGTAAGACAATTTATATGAAATCTTGATCTTTATCAAAAATCCATGGTACATGTACTTCAAAGCAAAATGTGATAATGCTCTCTGTTAAAAAAAGGGACAAAGTGACAAACTTTTATAGTAGTCTTTTAAGTAAACTTTATCTTTGAGTGTGTTTCTTTTCAACACACGTGTCCTAAAATGAAATACAAGTGGAGTCACAACAACAATCAATTGCCTTACACTGACAATTGTGGATACTGGTATAACTAACCCCTAACCCTAATAAAAATGTATGTCCTTTCTGTTCTGTTGTGTTTTAATCCTACAACAGAGACAGATGTGGCTGGAATTATCCAGTTTTCAGTTTTACTATGCAGATGTATGCAATAAAATTAGTGAATGTGGTATTCCAGGAATACCTGGAGGGACTACTTTCAAATTTGGCACCATCGTCAACTTGGGCCATTCCATTGGTGGTCAAATATCAATGTCACAGAGAATTAACACCCAACAAATACTATTACCTTTGTTGACTTCTGTTGTCATTGAGTAAGATATATTATGTTGAATGGCTAAAAGCATTTACCATGGCAGCTGACCTCATTTTTGAACATAAAATGTCTTACCCAAAGACAACAGAAGTCACAGAGGTCATTGATGATTTCATATAGGTTAAATCTACCCCTACCACCCTAAAAAATGTTTTGGGTTTTCCAGGGGCCCTTGGGAGACATTGGCCTGGCAGGTATACAGGGACCGAGAGGACCCCGTGGCTTGATGGTAAGATGAAGATTAATGTGTGTTGGCAACTAAGTGCGATACTCCAGATAATTGTGTGCCCTATGTCCAAACTTCACATGACAAATATGAACTTCTTGATCAGATACTCCATCACATGTGTCCTCAGTAACTAACATACCTCCTCTTCCCAGGGAATGAAGGGAGCTCTGGGCCCCGTCGGCATCATCGGCCCCAGCGGTCACCCAGTATGTACCTCATATCTCATCCTAACTGCTGAGCTTTATGTCTCTGTGCTTTCTGGCAGTGATGGAGTGATCCTCTGTCTCCTTTCTCTCCATCAGGGACCCCAGGGTGACAAAGGAAGTCCAGGAGAGATGGTGCGTGGCACGGCGTTTTTGATGAATCCTTTTTCTGTCTGTACTGTGAGCACAGAATAGGATACTTAGTATGGAGACAGCACACCACTCAGCCTCTTTGCCCACAGCGCTTTTCATTTCCTATTGTGCTTTGCTGTTTGTTGTTACACTCACAGTGACACTTAGCTGCTGTGGAATTCCTGTCAGGGTGATAAATGTTGGCTGCATGCTCATCTCAAGCTTTTTAAGAGGTTTGTTGAGCCCTCATTCAAAGACATAATGTGCTATTCACTCCTAAAATGCCAAAATTCATGTTTAGGGTTGCTGCATGGAAATAGAATCGGCTGTGTAGGTGTGCATGCTTGAAAGGAAGGAATACAATTCACATACAGCAGAAAGGCAATATTGCTCTTCACATGATGGAATAGTATCTGGTCTTCCCTCAAACCTATTCTCTCATTGTGGCATTGTTCACTTATGAATATTGATTTATTTTTCTTTCATCTCCAACAGGGGTCGCAAGGACCAAGAGTAAGTAATTACTCACTTGTGTAGCTTAATCATTTTTCTTTGTGCAGGCCTGTGGTCTGCTCAGTACTAGAAGGGATGAATTAACTACTTTATCATCTTCTATAAAGGCCAAGCTCTATATAATGTGAAGCCTAATGTGGCAATTCAATTTTTCAGGGCTCTTCAGGCCCCAGTGGACCACCTGGACCCCCAGTGAGTACTCCATTATTTATTTTGTACACATGGAAAGAATGACAGATTTTCTTTCCATTCAATCCACTTTTGATTTCAGTATCTTAACCATTGAAAACAATCCCAAGTGAGAAGTATACCTGGTAAAAGATATAGAGCTGAATTAGAGGCTAATTGCACACAACTGTCTCTTTATGCTATTATTGACTATAAATATTGGCGATATGTCTCAACCTACCTATGTCTCAAACTAAAAACTACAAATCCCACTGTTGCATCCACCAAAGTGCTCTGTGGATGGAAAGTATAGCAGCAACTTGAGTTACGAGAACATCAAATCGACTGAAGAGACGTGATGAGGGCCGACACATTGCGCTGGTGATGTCGTCTGAGGGACAGGAGTTGTATGGATCAGTTGATGGAGCCCCTATCGCTGACCAAAACACACATTTATCAAACAAATCCTTATGTCGGTTTGAATCAGACACTTAATCATTGCACAACTCTTTTGTCAAAAGAGCTGTCAATCAAGGCTTTAAACTAAAATCAACTAAATTTAAATTACATTGTACAAAAAATCAACACTTTGACAGAAATGAGCACGATAAGAACTAACTATAACAACAGAGATCATGTTTGAAAAAATTGTTGTTTTTTAAATTTCTAGTTTAGCCCTTGTCCCAGCTGTTAACATGGAGGAGGCGGAGCTTATGACCAATACTGCAGCCAGCAGGTGGAGCTCCAAATGTTGTCTATCATAAGAATCAGTCTTCCAATGCAAAAAGAATGCCAAAAGAATTCTCTACGGTTTTATGAAGCCATGAACAGCATTTGGCCATGTTTATGAGTTTGATCATTTGATTTGTATATACATTTTTTATCTTATCAGAATGACCTAACAAGGTTAAACAAAAGTTAGATTGTGTCTCCACCATCATTAGCAGTGTTTTTTTTTTTTTTTACCTCTCATTTGCTGTTTATCCTTAAAACAGTCCAGACTCTTGGTGGATCTGATGACTCATGAGGTGTTCAGATCTAGTACTTGCACCAAGAACTAGACTCTGGTGTGGGTATAGTGTAATGAGCATGGAAAATGTGCATCTCCACCCTCGCTAAACTGTCAGCATATTACATGAATTATTAAGAGATTTATCTAACTTTTGAGAGAGAAGCTTGTTTTCCACTGTGATCTCATTCAAAAATCAGTTAGCCAGCGGCTCTTCTTTTCTGCCTAATTTCCTGTGCGTTCATGCCTCATTTCCTGTGCATTCATTATTGTTTGTGTGCGTATCTGCATATTGAGTGACAATTGAGGGAAAACACAAACCAACAGTGTGATTAGGATTTACAGAACTCTTCCTGAACACAAACACTGAGTGGCTGTTGAATTGAAAGGGAAGCGAAGAATAGTAGAGTATAGAGTATAGAGTATAATACAGGTTTCTTTTTTTGTTTTCAGGGTCTTTCCAGCATTCTTTCACTTGTAAGTATCTTTTAGATAGCATGTCAGTTAAAAGTAAAACATGACGATAGCTGTTGTTCACTTCTTGTCTTGCTTTCTTTTTTGATAGCAAAACGAGGCTCTCGGTGTCGCCTTCAAAGTCATTATTGATTCCAATGCTGCACTGAGGCCACAGGTTAGTTTGGACCAAGAACAAAGTTCATTGTTATGATTATGTTGGTTTTTATTTATGTTGAGTCTGAGAGTCTGAACACACTAGAACAAGCTAGAAAAAAGTCTGTTAAAATGTTTAATTTTTTTTTACATCTTTTTTACATCTTGTGTCAGATCATGGACATGCCCATGTTAGACCAGGGCACAGAGATCCTCAAGACCTTGCAGCACCTCAGCACTCTGATCCGAAGTCTGAAAAACCCGCTGGGAACCCGAGACAATCCTGCAAGAATCTGCCGAGATCTCTACAACTGTGAACAGAGGATGCATGATGGTGAGGAGAAAGTCCAACCCTTTAGTGATTACTGTGCAAATATTCACTCTGTACATTCATTAGGAGCCCTTTTTTTTTCCCCTGACAGGAACTTACTGGATCGACCCAAACCTCGGCTGTGCTGCTGACACCATGGAGGTTACATGCAACTTCACTGGAGGAGGACAGACATGCCTGAAACCCATCACAGTATCCAAGGTATGGTTTTTACATTTAGCCATGTACTTCATCGAGACAGAACTATCAGTCAAATGTATACTTAAGATCAATTCAGGAGCTGATTTTACAGACAGTGGTTGTTAATTAAATTCATGATTGATTGTGTAAGTGGGATAATATTCTCATGTTGTCTTTTAGGAAAGAATGTCTCAATAAACATTAAACCTTTGGTTTGAATGATGTTTATGTGATCAATTATAGCAAGTACAGTGCAGAGCTGGTTCTTTCCTGGTACTATTCTTCCAACTTTAGCTGTTTTGGATGGATAGAGATTGTAATTAATCTTGAGGTGTCCCATTTAGCTCTTTTAGGTAAGTCACATTTTAAAGCCCACTCAGTTGTCAAGTAAAGCTCTCGAAACTCTCTTTAGTTAAATGAAATAATGAACAACTGATTACAGTCTGTTACCAACTCTAATATTTAATAATCAATTTCAAGATGACAACATCTGAGTTCAGTTATTATCATTTACGTTAAATGTCGGTGAACAAGCTCTCATTAACACAAGCTCATTTTCCTGATTGTGATTATTTGAGAAACTTGTATTCTTTCTTTATAGTTGGAAATAGGAGTGGGACGTATCCAGATGAACTTCATCCATCTTTTGAGCACTGAGGCTGTGCAGCATGTCACCATTCACTGCCTCAACACCCCTGTGTGGGCAGCAGGACCCTCCCTGCAACCTTCATCTAGAGCTGTGAGCTTCAAGGCTTGGACCGGGGAGAAAATCCAGGCAGGAGACCTCCTGGAGCCGCTCATTCCAAAGGATGACTGCTGGGTATGCTTTATCACTTATCACATGGATTCTGATTAGTGCTTTAAAGTAAACCCTTTAGGTTCTAAATGAAATCAGTTAAATTAATACTTTGGGAAATACTGGAAATATATGTTTTACTGGAACAGCTGTTTTAAATGAAAATCAATGTTAATTTAACATTCAGATTTAGTCACCCAACTACACGGGGAATCTCCAAGTACTGAGAGGAAGCCAATGAAGAGTTAGCTTAACATAAAGCCTGGAACATAGAGGGAAAAGCTAGTCTGGCTCTGTCCACAGCAACAACCAAAAAAAGAAGAAAATCACTTCTGTAACTCACTAATTATCAGAGTGTTTTAATAATGAAAGCAACACGTTGTGGTTTGGCTGTGTGTTTTGTGCTGTAACTCTTTCACAGCCAGGCGTAGAGACTTCATTGAGTCTCCACATAACTCTATCCAAAACACCTTTAAATCTTTTATAATTCTATTAGTGGACTGATTGCAAAACTTGATACAACATAAAAGTAAACTTTGAACTGTAACTTTTTTCTGTGCTCTGTGCCTTGTCCTGTCCTAGCTCTTAAGTTACCCCACAACATTTACAACATTTGTTCTTGGTTACCTCTTGTGGTGTCTGGCTCAGCAGATAGTTTTGGTTTTATTTGACCAAGCTTTTTAAGACATCTGTTTGTGATATAAACTCGCCCACAACCCAATACGCTGTCAGTTAATAGAATCTAGTTTGACATGCAGATGGCAGTGCCCCCGTTCTTCTGACTAATCCACAGACAGAAAGTAGTTTCAAAAGCAAGTGAAGTCAGGCAAAGACATCTGTGGATTATTCAGATTTAACAGGGGGATTGTTTGTGAAAAGGCAAGTCGGTATTGAGTTTTTCAAAATGTTTAGCTGCATTTTTTGGCTATTAGAACAAATCAAATCCTGTTTTTATTCAAATCATTTTAAAGTGCATACAAAATCAAAACAATCTGCTTGGCTAGTTAGTTCAAAATCACATCATGTGACATCATACAACCTTGATTTTCAGATCAAAGATGGCCGCTGGCATCAGACCCACTTTGTCTTCCAGACCCAGGACCCAAACTTACTCCCCATAGTGGATGTGTACAACCTTCCCAGCACAGAGCCTGGAGCGAGCTTTCACCTGGAGGTTGGACCTGTGTGCTTCTTGTAAAGCCCTGTGCAGGCGCGGTGTGAAAATACTACTCGGTGGAGTGACTGAGTGAAGGTGGGCAGACGCTGAGGGAGACTCATGCTTCAGTGGATTCCAGAGCAAACTTACTCCCATTTTCTCTCCACAAAATATGCTTGGACTGCAGAAACAGGAGGGGGGAGGGGGGGCGCCAGAGAGAAGTCCCAGTGGAAAAAACAGAGTTAAGACTTCAAGCACTAATCAGCCTATGGAAAACAATAAGATATAATAAGCTTCTTTCTCAGAGACTTGTTTAAGTGACACAAGACCTGAAGGCCCTGTGTGGAAAGAAGTCATGTGGAGCTGTAATTCTGTCATCTCTCGGGCCATGTTGTACCATAATTTCTTCACGGCCTGATGGGCGATTTTGTCAAAACCTTTTTTTTTTGTTTTAAAGAGATCTGTACAGAAACATGGAACTGTTCCCTCTGCAGATGCAATGATTCCTATTCTAATGTTTAAGTATTATTTATACATGTATATGTGCTGTATATTGTAATATAAAGTTTGATTGTTATTGTTCCACAGCCTGTAGGCATATACAGTTTCACGACACATCACTCATTCAGGTATACAGTGTGCCTCAGACACACAGGAGCACTGCCACATGTCCAGCTATGTCTTCTTGAGACTCTGATAACTATACAGTGCTGAAAGAAGCTGTGTTCATACATTTTATTTCTTCACACAAACATCTGCAGTGTGGTGCTTTCCGTGTTAAAGTAAGTCGAAGCGTGTCTGTAGTGGAAGTGTGACCAGATGCTACCTCGTCCTGCGCCTCTCATCTCACAACAAAACAAGAAGACTTGATGTCCTTTAGTCATGGATGAAGCAGAGGTGACAGAAGGTGCTGCAACAGTGGAACTCGTGTGATAAACTCTTGTCAGCTCTCAACGAAAGCTAAATCTTACCAAAAAAGGGAAGACTGTAAAACAAGTAATAAACACAAAGGCTACATCCATTAAATTACTTTTTTTAAATTACATTTTTAAGAAAGAATTGTAACTTTTTCAATATATTTAGTACCATCTGCAGATCTCTCTTAATGTAAATGTCTATAACTATACAACCTTTATTATTTACGATTGATTCTATTTAAATTTTATTTAAATTCTTATAAGCTTTCCAGTTGAAAACCAGGTATAAACGTCAGTTGTATCACTTTTTTGAGCTTTAAGGATTCTCCAGCCTGTGTGTTTTAACTCAACTGTTTAGATAATGAGCTGTATTTCAGGACAATATCATCCCTTTTTTTTAATTTTTTTTTACTGTCTATCAATTGTTATTCAAAAGTGCAGCAATGGTTGGTTTCACCAATCAATAAACTCAGAGGATTTCTTAGAATACACAACAAAAAACTACCATTGTACATGTACTCAAAGTCCTTCTTTCCATACAGACATTCAATGCTGTGTGAATGAAGTCGGATGACTCTCCAGGTAATTCAATAATAAAAGTCTGAAACCTTTCGTTGATCTTCAGCTGTCATATTTTTCCATCACAACTTCACAACAAAGTGAGGAATCATAATTGCATTTAAACAAGGGCAGTGCGTTTGAGCTCCCTTCACATAAATTAAGACACCATTTTTTTTTCTTCCCACTGTCAAAACAACACTGTTAATAAAACTGTCTCTTTGAAGTAAGACCTTGTTTTTTCCGAACAAAAGTTCCCCTCCGAGCAGTTTTACTGACATCACGGAGACTCTTTCAACTGCAACACTATTTGATACAAAACCACAGGCAGACTTGGGAGTTTTGAAGCACTATATTAGCAGACTGCTGAATCATAACATCCATGGTCTTATCTCGGGCACATGGCATGGCGGCCCCCGTCAATCGGAAGGTTTACTCCTGTGATGAAGCTGGCAGCGTCAGACGCAAGGAAGGCAATGCTGTGAGCCACTTCATCCACCTCTCCTGGTCGACCGAGGGCGTGGGTCTGCTTACACTTTGCAAGAAACTGTTAGAAAAGATGAGCCGAATGAGAATACGTTTTCCCCAAAATAATTTGTATAATTCTGCTAAAGAAAATGGGTTTTTACTTTTTTTATTTGCTGAATGTCATTAACACTTTTATTTGTATAATTGCATGCCAGGATGTTAACATGGAGTCCAACACTCATGTACAGAATCTCTAAAGGGACAGGTCAGTTTTAGTGACTTGATGTGTTACCTGTGCATACTGGTCGTCATCTAGTCCTGCTCTCCTGTGGACGTCTGTGATGATCACACCAGGGCTGAAGAGATGCAGCATGAACAGACATACAACATTAGGCCGTCACAAATGGTAATTAACATCAGAAACATCTCATATGATTGATTTGATGAATAAGAATATGTTTCCAAAATGTTTGTATTAAGGTCAATGACTGAACACAGAAGACCCCATACGGTTTACAGTAAACACACTTACCACACAGAGTTCACTCTGACCTGCTTACATGCAAGTTCTGTATATAAGAAAGAAGGAGTCCTGTTATTTATACTGGGACATGTAAGGCTCTGTGCAAACTGTGTGTGAAGAAAAAAAAAAAAGTCTCACTTACCAAGTGCTATGCAACGTGTGAACTGATCAATGGCAGACTTGGACATGCAATATGCCAGCACACCAGGGAACTACAAAGAGCAAACAACAGTGGAAACAGAGGATCAGACAATAGTGAGGAACACATGTAGAGGAACATCTGTGGCACCTGTTTTACACCTGGTATCAACATGTGGTTTCAGTGATCTGATCACAAGGGGCAGCACTTGAGTAAGAGCATTCACACGTTGAATGCTACTGCAAATGATGTCCCTTGATCGGGCGGTCCTTAATGTGGCCCAGGACAAATGAGCATTTAAACTACCAAAACCAAATGTGAACAAACCATCTGTGTGCGCAGCGCGAGGGATCGGATCTCAATGTGTCATCAGGACGCATTGGGGTGTCTAGTTTTGAAGCTGTCCCCTGTGATCTGAACACCAGGAGATGATAATGCAAGGTGTTGTTTAGTGTACAGCTGGCCAACACTCACGGCTCTCTGTCCATTGACACTGGACACATTGACAATGGAGCCTTTGGTCTTGATCAGGTGAGGCACACAAAGCTGAGTGAGGTGGTACACCGATCTGAAATATGAAACAAATCGTGATAACCAAGATGACTGAACGTGCACTTAGATGGCAATCTTTTGAGGAAGTAGAGGAATCAGTCCAACAGCCACTTACTCATATGGGTTAGCTAGTTCAATAGTGCTATAGTATGGATCTAATGTTGCTGATGATAAAGTCATTTTTAAATCAATAAAATTATTTCCCAATTAATATTTTGCTTTTAATTATGCATTTCCGAGGTAATTAGCCGTATTATAAGCGGGATAATGTACAGCGAGCGGGCTGTTGATCGCAGAATGGAACCCCAGCAGGGTGAACAGGACGTGGATGTAAATCGAGGGGTCTTGATCACCCTGAAAGGATTGCTGTGCGATTAAAAACCCACTTAACAATTAACAGAGAAATACCTCTTCACAATCAAGTATTGCCACTCTTTAACATTTGTTATTTAACTTTGAACATCAATTGACAAAAAAGCAGACAAGTGATTCTAGTTTTTATAGGTGCTGTACCTAAAACATACAAAATGACACTTTCCATCTTAAGTCCTTGTTAGTACATAACTCATTCACAAATGACTCAGCTAACTTAAAATGCAACACTAATATTTAACAGCTATCCCATTGGGCATGTCCCGGCTTGAGAACACTATGTACCTTAGTAGATCTGGCACAATTATTTCTTCATTGTTTTTTGAAATCCTACCTTACATTGATGTTCATGACTCTGTCATACTGAGTCAGGTCTGTCGCCTCGATGCTGCCCATGGCCAGGATACCAGCGCTGTTGACCAGGACATCAAGCCGTCCAAAGTGAGCAATAGTTTGCTCTACTGTTTTCTTTACAGTCTCCTCATCTGTAAGATCTCCAGGAACAAGCAGGGGCTAAACACAGAGGTGCTTTTATTATGGTCTGACTTAACATGCATCTTTGCACAGGCATGTGAAACTTTAAACTAAACAAGTCACTCTGTTACAGGCAACAGTATTTAAACAATAAAATAAGATTGTTTGCATGTCTTTGCAAGTAGTTCATGTATGCTGGTTTAAAAAAATGGATACTCTTCTACACCATGTAGTAACATTTGTTAACAACCCATGCTGCAAATGTATGAATCTACAAATTAAATTAAATTTTGACAATAATTATAGAGGTGAAAAGACGTGTCCTCATTTTTAGGTGTCTATTTGTCCACACAGAACTACATAGGAACTTTGGTCCAGTGTCAACATGCCTGCACTGTTACATGTTACCTGAACTTGGGTCACATTATAGTGATGTTGAGTGTGACTTTACCTCCTCTGCTCCACTGTCGGTGCACTGTTTGGATATCTTTTGGAGATTTTCCACGTCGCGGCCGTTCAGAGCCAACAGAGCTCCCAGTTTAGCGAACAGGACGCTCGTACCTGCACCGATACCGGAGCTGGCTCCAGTTATCAGGGTCACTTTCCCCTTTAGGGAAGACACCTGAACACATACACACGCTAGAGTTACCAATATATCCATGGACAGCATCTGAATAGGCCATAAACATACTTGCCAATTATTTAAGCAATTTCAGAACGACAATTAAACAACGGTGTAACATATGCAAGTAAGTCAACGTACTTTAAATGCATCTTCTGCAGCCATGATTCAGTTTAGTGCGGCGTGTTTCGTCCACCAGTGATGACGCAATTTGACGCGTGCGGTACATAACGATTTGTAGTTTATTTGACTACACCCTCATGTCACAGACCAGGGATGGGGCAACTTTGGTCACAGCATGGGGCCACATTCATTTAATTCTCACCGCCAGAGGGGCCAAATTGTGGAATACATAAACGATTACAGCCGATTATGTCTCAACATAAACCAAATCAAATATTATTATGGACATGTTTCTGGTTTTCACTATTTCATGGCAGATTTTGTCATCTATTCTTCATGTTTCCAATTAATTGATACGTCAAAATTGACCTGAAGGCCACATCGAGGGTTCATGGGGGGCCGCCAGTTGCCCAACCCTGTCCCGGATCTTTAAACACACCTCCAGAAATGTCACTATGAATTTGTGAGACACTCTCTATTAGGCATACAAAAAGCAAAAGGAATATGTTTATTGTAAAAGTTTTATTCATTACAAAACACTGACAGCTTATTTACATATCAGGATCTGAAAAGCATTATCCCAAACAGCAGAATAATACCACACCTGTTTCCTTTAATCATTCTGAATTTTAAAAAGTGTAAAGGAAAGGCTAAACTCTACTTCTTCCTGAAAAAAGGCTTTGTTGAAACTTTAGGTCAATGGGGATGCAAAGCATTTACTAAAATGAATCATCAGGTGATTCAGCTAGAAACTGATGTACAACCATAGACTGTAAATATTACAACCCCGGCTTTTGCTGCATGGTTCTTCCTGACACTGGTCCATCAGCACCAGCGACTTGGCAACAAAAATAAGGTTATCCTTTTCTAAAAATGCTGATAGAGCAACATTTTATAGTCTTTGAAGTGTACGGAGAATACATTTTACATTGGTCAAAAGGTCCTTCTGCATATCTGACAGGAAGCTGTCTATCCAGCAAAAGGGTTGGCATGTATCGTCACATCTTTTATCCGGGTTTCAGTGAGTGGTCGGAATGTCTTTTCATTGACCGGCAGTTTCTCCAGTTCATCCAGAGTTTCCAGGCCATCGATAATCCTACATATTGAAAAGAAAAGCAACAACCACAGCTGCAGTTACTTATATGTTTAACATTAAATTCCATTGATAACTGTTAAAGGTCCCATATTATGTTTTTTCTGGTTTTATATGCTCTTTATTGTGTTTTCCAAGTGTCCTGTGCATGTTTAGGCACATCTATGTGCAAAAATTCAAAGTTTGCAGAAACGCGGCTTCTCCTACGTCCTCCTGTTAGCTGTAGCATTAGCTGCATGTAACGCTCGGTTCTAGCCCCCCTCGATAAAAATTTGTCAGTGCGACGTCATTGTCAGTGTGAGATCACTGATCTAAGCCTGTTGGCTCGTTGTGGCAAGCCCTGCAGCTCATGTTGAAATTTCAGAGAAGCGTGCTGAACAACTGACCAATAACGACAGAGCGGATCGGCAGACCAATCAGAGCAGACTTGGCCCATGTGGGGTCTAACAGTGTGGGCTCAGCAGAGTGTAGCTGACGGACTCAGAGTGGAGCAAGGGAGCAGAACATGAAAACAACACTTTTTTCAAACTTTATCTATTGTGAACGTACAAAAGTAGGTACATAGATTAAATATACGAACCCCAAAAAGGCAGAATATGGGCTCTTCAAGTCAAATGTAGCTGGTTGTGTATAAACAATATCCCTTTGTTATATAACTAAAAATATTCCTACTTTATAAAATACCCTTTAACCATAAAAATGCTGCATACTTTCCAAACACTGTGTACTTCATGTCCAGATGGGGCTGTTTGGCATATGTGAAGAAAAACTGGGAGCCATTTGTGTTGGGGCCGTTGTTTGCCATCGAGACCACTCCTCTGACATTATGCTGTAAGAAAAAGAAAGAAAGAAAGAAAGAACATTAATTAATAGAAGACGACGTGACAATGAACCCATGTGAATATGAGATTGAACTTCGTCATGGAGGTAGTCAAAACGAGCCCCGCTTTACTTACTTTCAGGTGTTCACTGTACTCATCTTCAAATTTGCGGCCCCATATACTCGTGCCTCCTTTCCCTGTGCCTGAAGGGTGCAATCAATGTACAGGTGACAAAAACAAGAGAGTGAAGACGGAACTCTGACATCTCACTCTGAACCATGAATGCAACAACACATCACCTGTAGGATCTCCAGTTTGAACCATGAAACCCTTTATGTTTCGATGGAAGACGCTGCCATTGTAGAAGCCACTGGCACACAGGGCGAGGAAATTCTGGAACAACAACACATGTTACAGTCAAAGGTGTTAAAAGTCTGAAGTGTGAGGGATCACACATTGACTGTACATGTTAAAAAAGGGGGATGTAAATGTTTCTGAAGTGCACTCACCTCACATGATCTCGGTGCCCGCTCACAGAACAATTCAATTTTTATATCTCCCAGATCTGTTTGAAGAGTAACCGCCTGTTGAAACATCATCAGTAAGAGAATATTATTATCGTGATAAAGCGCCATTCACTGTTTGATGTTTAGCTTAGCATGCTGCCCCGGTTGAAATATGTAACATGTTCTCACAGGAAAAGTTTTAGGGTTATTTATATATTTATCAAACCAATTTAATAGTTGACAAACATTTAGACCTATTTTTTTTTCTTTCTTAATAATAATAATCTAAGTGGAAATGTTTTTATAATACGGTTACCATTTCAAACGTTGCGTCTACGAATAGGTGCGTCGGCGAAACATGTCCGTGTGCCTGCAGCAAAAGAGAAGGTCGCCGAGAAGAAAGGTTCCGCAAAAAATGAATTCACGCTCATTTCTGACAGACTTCGGCATTTTTGAAAATTAACATGAACATTACGGCATATGCAGACAATTAATAGTGTTTTGTTTTCAAGACATGGCTGAATTTACCTTACTAGCTTTCCCAAGACTTTCAAAATGGCATCTCTAGTTTAGTAGTGTTTATTAATACTCTTTTAATCAGTCAGCTCCGGGTTCACCTACTTCATTAAGTGTTCTTCAAATTACACGTCCTCTACTTGAGATATTCTTTTATTTATCACGTCTGAATATATATACATTTTAACATAACAGCGACTAATAGGCCATCTCATATGTATGCTACCCTAGCAGAAATACATTATCAACCCAGCAACATCCTACACAACTGGGTTAACAAAACATACAACAGAGACCAAGACAACTTTACTGGACCAAGTCAATTTTTATTATTTCTAGTGGATGCTGTGCAGGAGAGCATAGGACATATGTTCAAACATAATACTGTCACATGGTTTATTTCAATACAGAGGAGTTCCTTATGAGTGGAAAACTTTTGGGAACTAAACATTTTGTGAAGTCAAAATAGTTCATGATTGGATCTGAGTTTAACACTGAAAAATAATATTTACCCTAAAAAAAGTTACTTTCAGAAAAGAAGGAAAAAAGAGGGGTAAGCCAGTGTTTCACCCAACATACATACACATGGTTAACACTCAAACACTTATTCTGTGCCAATTACAGCGATGACAGGAATCTTGGGAAGAAACGCAGTGTCATTTACATGGTTATGGTTATTGACAAAAATAGCAAATCAAGGTAAAAACCAAGTGGTTTCTTTAAAAACACAAACACATTTAGTTTGAAACCAGCAGCCAATATTTAATACACCAAACTAGAAAAGAATGTATAGAAATGCATATAAAACCGTAACTGTATAAAACAACTGTTTAAATTAATTAAAAAAAATACCAGATATAAGAAAAATAGGTAATCAACTCATAAAAGAAATGACTACTAGCTGGTTTTCCTGAGAAATTTAGTTTGACTTGATACTTATAGCTGTCAGATGATAAAAATCAGGGTAAATACGGAAAAAAAACAGGATAAACAATAACTGTGACACAAATAGCTGATCTACTTATTCATACCAATCTTCTAGCAACCTACACAACCTATTTTTTTAAATGTACTGACCATTTCAATGCAGTGTTCACTGCAACCCTTTACATTTGACACAAGTTTTCTCTTAATTAGAAGAGTTGATTGTCTTAATCGGTGCTGTATTGCTGAGGTGTTCTGGGTGTTGTTTAAAATTCTAGCTAACACATAAAGGTGAATTAATCTTTTAATGGGCAGCTCCAAAAAAAACAACACATTTTAATCTCATGACTGGCAGTCATTAGGCAGAACCTTCTCACACCAGAAACATACAAAACATTTGTTGAATACATGATTATTTCCATTGACTTAAATGCATCTTGTTGGAGAGGTGCTAAAGTGCAAAAAGCATTCTATAGGACCAAAACCTTCCTTTAGACTATCTGACTAAACACTTCCCCCATCATCTAAGTCAAATCAGTGTGACAAAAGAATGCCCATGCAAGTTAGAAAACAGAACTATGAACCTTTACGTAGTTTAAATAAAGGCAATATTGCACAATAGGGCATAGTTAAACATGTTCCTAAAATGAATGGACATAGCTTAAATGACCTGCATGCTTTTCCAAACCAGGGAATGGAGTTTAGATTGCTACTGTCAAAGTTTTCTAGTTATGTTTATTCAAACACACATTTATTTTCTTTATACGGGACAAACACAAGGACCTCCATTGTGTGTTGTGCTGAATCAGAGCTGTGCATTGATTTTCACTATCACATTTTCAGCATCGTGCTGTTTACTGTGGCAAAACACCAGTGTAGAAAAGGTCACTCCCAGGCAAAGGTATTAAACAAAAAGAACCACAAAAAAAACAACGAGTAATTACATGACCTGATCTGAAAGGTATGGATGCCCCTAAGGGACAAGAAATAAAAATCAAGAAAAATGTAAGAAAGACAAAAACACACATGATCCTTATAGCTCCCACAATTTTGAAAGAATTGGTTTAAGTAGTTATAAAGTATAAGGGAGAAGAATCAGAAGACCTGTTTAATTAGGAGGTGAGTAGATCTGGCACAAAGAGCCCTATGGAAAAAAAAAAACAACCTTAATAACAAAAACTCTTCCTTTGACAAAACAAGCTTCAGTCAGTAAACAGAACTGCTCAATTTCAGTTTCACAAATGTACTGGATAAATTAAATTATTATTTTTATGGCCCATTTGACTTCCACACTCTTCAGTAGTTTCAGCAGTTCTTTGCAACACTGGTTAAGATTAAAACTGCACCAGGGTGGATGTTTATAAAAAAGTGTAGTTAGCACAATCAGTGTCACAAGGTCTGCTTACAACAGAAAAGACGGACTCATTTATCACCTTGAACACATCATATGCATTTCCCAAATGTATTACCAGTGTTATGTATGGCCACTTGTGAAAAGTCCACATACTGTAGGAGTGTAGTGCAGCTTTAAAGACCGTTATCTGCAACAAAACAAATATATTGTACTGAACTGAATAAAAATGACAGACATAACAGGTGTGAATCAAAGTTAAGGCAACCGACCTGAAAGCCATGGCTCTTTTCAAAAATATGTCTTTATGCTTCTTCCATTGACATTTAATTTTTTTTTTTTTTTTTTTTTTAAAGAATTACAATATTTTGTTTATATGTGGATAGCAGCCTGTTTTGCAAATATTTTTAGCCTTTCAAATTAAAAGCTAAAATTTCCAATTTTAGTTTCTCAAAGTTAGAATATATCCATTTCGGACCGTACTGCAATGTTCTTTGACATAAAGAAACATAAATAATTCCACCTTTAACTAAGGATATAGTAGGTTATAATCTAAATATTATTAGATTAAAATGGCTGTAATCTCACACTCACCTATCCAAGTACAAACATAAAACTGAAATTAATTCTCGGCCAGGAAACATTTTTGACATAAAAGGAATGTCAAAGTCATATATCAGGGCAAATAAGTAGACCAGTACTTCAAATTCACTGAAGTGTTATATCAGTTTCAGACATAAAACCAATAGTCTTCTTTTCAATTTGAATAAAGTATGATCCTGTGTTAAATAAAAGGAAGAAAAACAAAAGAGTTTAGTTCATATGACAGACATGGCTTATCTCATTCAAAAACTTTTCCTTGTTTTGTTCATTTTTTTTTTTGTGCAAGTTAGTACAAACGAACAATGTAGACGCAGCATGGCCATTCAAGATTATGCTCAGTTTCCTCTGATTAGCATACTGGCAGTAAGGATTGGGTATCTATGTTCCAATAAGAAAGACCCCTAATATATCCACGGTACAGTGATGTTTTGTTATACTTAACTTTTCCACTGGGTAGCATTTTGTAGAGTAATTGCTTTTCCTCAAGTCAAACACTCTAAAAGTCTTTCCCCAGAAAGAGGCCATCAACCTCTTCACTTTGCCAAAAGTGTTCCATACAAGGACTGTGCAGTCTCATCTAATTCCACATGTTGTAATCTACCAAGACTCAAGCCAACCAAAGACAAATCCTCAGCCTCCACAGTACTCGCACTAATAACAGTCTCCTTAGTGACCCTCTCACTTCCACCCAGAACTAAAAACCCATACATGTCCGCCGTCTACAGCAGAAAAACTATGACTACCCTGAGTTATCTTTCATGTAGGGACGCTCCTGGACTAAAGTTGGAGTTAAAAAAAACTAGGAATATGCATTTCATCTATATCCAACTTAGAGGATTACTAACGTGAATGTGTAGTGATTGGTATCACCATCCCATGAATAAAATGTAATATATTACAACCAGAAGAGGGTATATTAAATAATATAAGTAAATATTTGACAGTCATGATTCATAATTATTTTGATAGAATAAGACGTTTGTTACTTCTTGATACAAGGGGAGCAAATGATGGCTGAATTTGACAATCCATGCTCATAAGATAAGAGAGAGGTCTAAGAGAAGACCTTTCTATCTCATCAGTAACACAAAGGTACTTGACATGTTTCATTTTTATGAAACAAGAACATGATGTTATAGCTTTTTGGAACAGTGGACCTTTTTTCAAGGTTTTTTTTTTTTTTTTCTCGGAACACAGTTTGCCCAAAATTTTGCATAATTAAACTTCTCAACCGCAAGAAAGAGGCATTCAATGTAAACATGCCCTTGATCAAAATGTCATGGCTACAGTATTGCTAATAAAGCATCAATACAAGGTCATAATGGCATGGCCAGAGAATTAACAGCACAGTTAAGAATATTGGAACAATAAGAAGCTATCAGTATTTTGGTTGTGCCACACTGCCCTTGGATCTTGATACCCAACCTTACTAGCAGTACACTACAGCAGGCCAACAGGCTGTTTCATCGATCCCTCTGGGACGTTTTAGGTGTTTCTCCAGTGTCAGGACTCGACTTGTCAGTATCTGTTCTCACTCGGAGACAGAGACCTGTTCAAGCCTGCTCTTTGTCAACTTTCCACAACTGTTCCTTGACCTCTGTGGGCAGGGTGTTGAAAAGGTCCTCTTCCACCACAATACCAGTTCTCTTTAGCTGTCGGCACTCGCCCAGCTCCACAGGCAGACACTCCAGGCGGTTTCCTCTCAGTTCCAGCTGTGTTAGCGCAGTCAGTTCTCCAAACCGCGATGGCAGAGACTGAAGGCAATTGTTGCCCAAGTTCAAAGTGCGAAGCTTCTTACACTGGAACAGCTCATTGGGTAGACTCTCAATCTATATTACAATGTGGGAAAGGTGTTGGGATAAGACAGACAGAAATCAATATTTCAGCAGCTGAAAAACTATAAATGATTTTACAACAACCAACATGGATAAAAAAAGCTGGAAACAGTTAAGTCCTTACCCTGTTGGCTGTCACTGCCAGGTACTGAAGATTTTGCAGGAAGCCAATGTCTGAAGGAATATAGGTGAGGTTGTTATGGCTCAAGTCCAGGAAGCGCAGCTTGCGGCAATAAAATAACTGGCTGGGCATCTTTTCAATCTTGTTCCTGTTCAGGTATAGTTTCTCCAGGTTGGTCAGTGTGCCAATTTGTATGGGAATATAGGCAATCTGGTTATACCAGAGCTTAAGGCAGACAAGCCGATGAAGGTGCTGGAAGCTGATGATCTCTTCGATGGTCTTCAAGTTGTTGTCCTTCAGATCAATCTCCTGCAAGTTGTGCAAGCTGAAGATGGAGTGCGGTATGCGTTCTAGATCACAGCGAATGAGCTCCAGTTCGGTCAGATTCACCATCTTTTTCAGGCTGTTGAGAACCATCAGCTTGGTGCCTTCATTGTTGATGGAAAGCTTCTGGAGGTGCATGCCCACATCAGTCACCACCTGAGGTAGCTTGGTGAGGTTGCTCTTCAGACGAAGAACTTTGAGCCTCTTGAGCTCCCGTAGTCCATCTATGACAATGTAACGGTTGTTCTCTGCACTGAGGTTCCCTGTCAGATGAAGCTCACTAAGATTCTTCAAACTATAGATCCACAAAGGAATCTCTTTGATGTCTGTGAACTTTATGTGTAGAGACTTCAAGTTCTCACGCAAGAAAGCCAATGCAGGAGCTTCAATTTTGGCCGGTGTGTGGTAGAGCCACATCTCTCGTAGGTTGACCAGCTGGGCAATGATCGGGGGGATGGTGACATCAGGAATTAGCTCCAGTTTGAGGACCTCTAGCTCCATAAGGTCAAATACTGTGTCTGGAATGCCACTTAGCATGAAAAGGTGCAACTCCAACTTCTCCTGAGAGTTCTTGGTAATCCTCTGCCTCAGCTTGTCCAGTGTCCATTCGTTGTTGAGGTTGAGCTGCCTCAATTTATTCTCGCTTACTTCAGAGAGGAACACAGCGAAGCGTTTTGAGTACAGAGGATCATACTGATCTATCATGTGCATCATGAACGCAAAGTCATTCTTCACATCTGGAATGTCACTGTAGCTGCTCTCTTCCCGTATAGACTCAAAGGAATACTTCTTTAGAGAGCGCCGGAGCATCCAGCAAAGGGTGTACATGCAGATCAAGCCATACACCACTACTAAGCTAATATAGAAACAGGCTAATATTTTAAAAAGTGTAGCCAAAGGGTGAGCACAACGATACACGCTGTAACCTGTAAGGCTCTCTATGTTTACCGAACAGTCAACGCTAAATTTTATGTCATGCACGTAATACCCTGTATAGCAGATGATCAAAATAAATTTGATTACTTTGATAATAGTCTGGCGGATGTAGAGTCTATACACAATGTCTCCTTCTTCAACATGTATACGGAACTTCTTCACTCTTTCAAATAGGGCTTTTGCCTGTTCGCCCTCTTTTTTATCCAAAACCCCTGTTTCTGTTCTGTCTACAATGCCCTGCTCAAAGCGTGTTTTTGTCCTTTGGAGCATAGGGACACTTGCTTCAACGTCCTCACTGATCACTGACTCTTTGTGGTCCATTGAGCCATTCATTTTCATTGGCTTGGGATCGCTCTCCTCAACCACTGTCTCAGACAGTGCCCTAGTTGTCCATGGGGAGTCAAAGCATTTCAGCAGGATGGATACAAAGTGCTCTAGTTTGGAACTAGTCCGTGGGAACTTAAACCAAAAGTTGCTGCAAGCTAGGAAAATAAGGGTGTGAAGTAATACTAGGTAAGGAAAGTACTTTGCAAACCAGTGCAATCTATTCTCGTAACATACAGCATCAACGTAGTTATACTGGTGGCGATCCAGGTCATACTGGATCCCTTTGGGCTCCAAGAATAATGAAGTGGCGATGGTAGAATTGAAGTTCTTCTTGCAGGTCTGATTGACTACCCATTTGCAGGGCAGACAGATCATCTTGTCCTGGGTTACCTGCAGTGTCCCTCCAAACACAGAAATCATAAGCATAACAATGGAGATGTAGTCGGTGAACACATCCCACCATGGTTTTAGGATGCGGTAGGCTGGTTGTGTGTCCACAAAGTACCGCAGCTCAGTGATGGGGATCATGATTTATCTGTAGTAAAAAAGGAAAAAACAGATAATGACAGAATTATAACTGATTATAGCAATACACTGAATTATAAAGCCCTACAAAATTAAAAGCTCACTCTCCTTTGGGCCTCAACCGCCTTTACCTGAACCACAAACAACCACAAATCAATACTACATTGCTAACTAACAAGGTCATCCATCAGAACATTGTAGATGGTTAATTTGATGGCCGCCAGGAGTAATGAAATAGTGATCGCTGCTTGTTGTAACAAAGAACTACCTGATTGACTTAAGTGAGTGGTCTAGCATGTTATTGATTTAACAACTGTTTAACAGACACAATTAATCTTGCTTTCAGAGAGAAGTGTCATATTGGAAATAGCATTTCTAATGTTTTGGCAAATTAACAAACTAGCTAATAAAATATTAACTACGTTATTTGTTTGCCATTTTAATTTAGTCCCTTTAAAATTGTAGAGAAGGATTAATGGTGTGTCCCATGAAGGATTAACGCTGCTTGAAAGATATTGGAAATAGCATTTCTAATGTTTTGGCAAATTAACAAACTAGCTAATAAAATATTAACTACGTTATTTGTTTGCCATTTTAATTTAGTCCCTTTAAAATTGTAGAGAAGGATTAATGGTGTGTCCATGAAGGATTAACGCTGCTTGAAAGTTTATGCAAGCTATAAACATAATAAATGGCATATTAATGGAACAATCATTTTCAATTGGCTTAATCAGGAAAAATCTATGAGCAGATTTTCATTGGAGGGAGGGCTCCCTAATAAGCAGGCATGCACTGATTTCACATTTTCTCTTCTGATGATGAAGTATGTAAAACTGATGTAAGTAATACACAATTAAGTACTCTGCAATTAATCCTGTTTCAATATTCAATTTGGGCTTCCTACAAACTACTGTGCAGCATGCCGTGTCGTCTTCGTTTTGTCATGTGTGGTAAATGTTTCAATGTGAATGTTGTTATATTATGGCCACAAGAATACATCGCTATAACCTCAATTAAATAGTTATTATCTAATGTATTATAATATATTGTAATTTTATGTTTATGTGTTTTACTTGTTATTTTCATTTATTGCTTGTTTTTCAAAGTGTTCGGATTCAGAATGTGTTTAGTGTTATTTAATAATGTGTTAAAAGTGTTTAAGTTTGATAAATGCATGTGATCCAGATGTTGTTCAATCAATGAGTAATCATGTCAAATAATTGTGATCACAGTATCAATTAAAAATTATTATGATTTTTAACATTACTGAGCAGCCCTAATGTATACACATGAACAATCCACATCAATATTAATACTTTTTTTTCCCCGTAGAAATCAAACACATTTAATGAAAATTAAATACAAATTGATCTGTTTTTTAATAAAAGTTTAACTTCTGGACAGACCAAGGGAAACAACTTCTATCAACATGTGAACAGTTTCATGGAGAAGAATGATGAGTTTAAGGAGCTACATATAATGCTAGATGTTTTCCATCGAATGTTTCTCTTTTTAATCTCAACAGGCAGAATGACAGCTAGCAGGAATATAAGTGATGTTGGGGAGAGGAGTATAGATAGCTCCATGCAAAAATGGGGTCTAGACATATGCTCCTGTTAGGATTAGTGGAAGGAGGGAACTTGTGTGAGCTGGTGTTGGTTGAGGCAGAGTACAAGCCACCATGGAGGGAAATAAACTATGATTGTAAAAAAAAAAGATGTTAAAAGTAACCAGAGTGCAGACTTTTGGACATTTATTTTGAGTTGTATGTAACTTTCACCCGCAGTTTCATAGAGAAAGTGAGTTTAAGACCCCTGGGAAACAGACAAGCAGTTTTGATGGCAGGAACATCAAGTAGAGAAGTGTAAGATTATGACAATATTATACATTTGGTGGCAATCCAGGACCTCTTTTTATAAATACCAGAGTACTCTTTAATAGTTAAAGGCAATACTTGAATATGGACATTATTTAAAATATGCATCACTAGAGGCAGAAATCAGGCTGGTGCTGATTCAGCATATTGCATAGATGCATTCAAATTGCAGGGACTGAGGTTGGTTTTTCTACAAACTTAGACACATCACTAACCTGACAACCAACAGAGATTTTGCAATTCCACAGCATCAATCCCTTCAACCATAATTAGGAATAAATCTTTTTTGTAAACCTCACATCTGCACTCTGGCCACCAGCATCAAGTCCAAGTTGCCTTATTCATCAAATGTGTTAGTAGAATACAACAGCAAATACCAATCACAGACATAATTCCAAGTGTAAGTTTAGTTTCACAAAAAATCTAAAAGTATTTAAATGTGTCTTACTGTAAAACTCAGTAACTCCATACATAAAACCACCAATAGCGTTGCACAATTACTCCTTCGCCTCGATTGTACATCAGAGCCTGATAAAACCTTCCACCAACGTCAACCTCTCGCCTTTAGTGAGTGTGACACACCCAGCTTGTAAGCTTGAGGAGTCACTCTTCTAAAGATGATGTTCCGTTTTGGCTGGTTTAACCCAAACAACACAAGAGCCCCCCACCTCGCTTGTGTCCTCTCTATTCTTAGCTGTTTCCGTTAATAATACCCAGAGTATTGTCTGTGGGGTCCTTGACAAGGACCTCGCGTGACCTTCAGGAGGAGATCCTGTTTACCTTACAGAGGCTGCTGTCTCCAACTAATGTCTCTCTGGAATACTCGGCTGTCACCTTTTGCAACCCCACCGCTCCCAAAAAACACACACCTTCACATACACAACAAGAGTCGGGTGTTGGCATTCACAACAGCTTGTACTTTGTTAGGAAACTATAAAAGCAAGCAGACAAGACGCCCAGTCTGATCCTCAGCCAAATAAGCATATTTAGTCTGGCTGTAGTTCAGAGGAACTTTTAGTAAACATAACTATTCCAAAGAAGCTGCCTGGATTGGGTAGCAACCAGTAAATACAGTAAATAAGATACTGACTTGTTTGGAGGGGTTATCTGTGCTCCAGTGTTTGATGATGTCCTCTGTGGACACGCCACTCTGTGTGTATCCACAAGTCTTCATGGACCACTGCCTCCCTCATCATCACGGGGTTGAAAAGAAAACCTAAAAGAGACATTAAAGATGTTCATGGATTCTCAGTTAACACCAACCTTGTGCGAACAGTGTCAAGAAAGTTACCTGCATATAATAAACAAGGTGTTACTTAGTTGTGGGCGAAAAAAACTGTAAAAACTAATAAACCACGTGTGTCTAAACGGGTTGTGTATTAAAGTAAAGTGTGTGCAGTCTACCTTTTGGCCATATATGACACAGGGGTCGTCGGATAAATGTTTATTTACATAATCGAGCCAAAGCTCAGAGAGTTAGCATGGGACGTCTTTGTCATCATGTAGCCGAACAAACACAAAGTTAAAGCAGCGTGTTTTCTTACATTTGTATTAACCATTGAATAATACCACACGCTGTATTTGAGAGAGTGCAATGAAGTCGGACTGGAATGTATTTTAATAGCACCGACCAAATAAGAAAACATTTATTTCCCTGTATAAAAAAAAGAAAAGAAAAAAAAACACGTTAGCGAACTAAGCTAGGCTACTCCTAGCTTTTGGAGCTAACCTAACCAGAGTCATCGGAAGTTTACATCGTAGCAAACGCTGAGGTTAATATGACAGCGACACATTGCTGATATGCATTATTATATTCAACTTACTATGTCCGGTATTATTCGGTCAAATCCAACGCTACTTTAATAAATAAATAGTTGAAAACACATCGCGTTGACTGTCGCGATTAGCTTTGCTAGCTTTCCCAAAAAAAACACCGGACAGCTGTGAGTTCAGACCTCCAGACCGGCGGGAGGCAGTGTGGCTTCTTATGGGAAACGTAGAAGAAGAAGAAGAAGAAGAAGAAGAAGAAGAAGAAGAAGAAGAACGTTCTTCCTCTACGTTTTCTACCAATGAGATGTTTTTTGTTTTTCACTCATTAGAAGATTAACTGATTGAGCATCATATTGTGTGTTTTAAGTTCAGACATGTTGGCGTTTAACTCTTTGAGGTTTTCGTGCTCAGCTCGGGCTTTACTTAAACAGAACGTGCTAAGGACGAGAAGACAGATTGTTTATGATGCAATGACATGTTCAGTGCATTGTATGCCCACCAGCTGCAACAGGAAAGACACATGGCGAAGTCACACAAACTTTGTTGCACGGGGAAAGGATAGTCACTTCAGTTGCTACACTCACCCTGTTAGTTCCCTCAGGAGTTTCTGTACAGATCAAGACAAACTGAGCTGCTGGCATTGCGAACAGCCTCTGGATAAATCACCTGCATTCTTCTGCATGTCATGCAAAGTAGTCCAACCCCCCGAAGAAGGGATGTCATACTTCAAAATCATGGATTGGTGAGTATGTTACCTCATTATCTGTCTTACTCTTACTTTTTTTGATCAAGTCATTCTGTGAGCAAGCATCTCATGTAACCTTGGGGTACCTCCTTTTCAGTACCTACACATTCACAGTGGACATACAAAAGCTGCAGAGAAGATACTTGCAGCTCCAGCGGTCTCTCCATCCAGACAACTTCGGCCAAAAATCTGTGGTAGGAAGGGGTATGAAAGGGGGATCTGACAAGAGATCAGTTAAGTCATAGGGTTCATGAGTCAGCTGTGAATGTTACAACACAAACGACATTAGGGATGTATCCGAATTGCCAAGTACCTACTCAATCTGTCAGTAGGCAATACCTACTATCTATGCTGTACACTGTTTAGTACCTACTATTCAGGAGGTAGGTATTTGTTCCTACTTCTTCTGATTCGTTCAGTATGGAAGTGACGTCATTTACGTTTCCCGAACCGGCCGCATCCACCTGTTTTTTTTTTAGTAATGCTCATCTACAGTCAGATAATAAAAAAAATATATATATTACAATGTAAATCAAGTAAAAGGCCGATTAAATAACAGTACATAAAGAAAAGTACAAATGAAAGACAGTAATATACAGAATAGAAAATAAAATAAACCAATAAAGACACATTTAAATAGTGAAATCATTATTTAAATAGAGGGGGAAAGGTTTTATAATAATAATGCAGACATTTGTTATATTTTCTGTTGTTAATTAAAAGTAGTGATTTCAGTCGGGACTTTAACTCTAGATTAAAAATTGATTAAATTAATCCACGCTCGTTTGTTTTGATTTGGAGGCGGACGTGAAGTGACGATTTACGTTTAATTTCGCACAGCATTGTGGGTGGTAAAATACAATTCATTTCCTGAAAGCACGCATCCGATCCATACCGCATGAAACCCGGAAGTTAGTATCCATACTGAAATGTTCAGTATACTGAGGTGGACCCAAAATATGCATACTGAATGACCACGAAAGTTCAGTATACTGAAACTCCATACTGAATAGTACTGCATACTAAACTGTGACAATTCGGAAAGGGCCAAGGTTTAAGCCCTTACCCCACAACACCATTTGACTTTGATTTCTGACTTTGATCTTGTGTGATCAAGGGAATTACTCAAGGCAAAGCTAAGAGGTGTGGTTTAAAAAAAAAAAAGCCAAGCAACAAGGTCAAGGCAGGGAATTTCTAGAAATCAAAAGCTAGCCTATATAACTCAAAAGATGCATGTCTAAGAAAGATGGGGAAGATGACAAGAGAAAATAGTGCAATATTTAGAGGAAAGAAGCTCAGCGACAGCTCAGCTCCATTAAGTAATCCCAGGTGGGGATTCCAGAAAGCTGGCTGTCGTAATGATAACATATTAATTACCCCATCTTTTTTCTCCTCTATGAAGGTTTATTCTCTGGTGGGCCCACTGCCCAACAGACCTATAGTATTGCTTAATATGTAAATTATGTAACCTGAAACTTGTACCTGGTACATCTGTTTCAAATGATAGGGTATTGTAATTAAACAATCTCAAAGAAAGAAAATGAAGCAATGTTAAATAACCTTTTCTTTTTGTGTGCAAAATGAATTAAGCAAAGTAGAATAATGGTAACTTTTGGCGGGAGGGTGATCGCTTTTCTGACGTTAAAGTGAAATGCCTTTAAAATAATTTTTTGGAAGAGTAAGTCAGCGTGTATTGGGAATTCTACTTTTAAAATGCCAGGAGATTAAATAAAGGGCAGAACCAGGCAATTTCCCTGCATAATCAACCAACTGATTATGAGCTGAGGTTTGTTGATCTATGGTTGGATTTGTAAATAATAACAAATGCCACGATAATTCCAAGCATTCAAAGTGACATATTCAAATACTTGTTCAAAATTGCAATAGGTGAAAGCAGGTGAAAAATATGAAATACTCTTGAAGCCGATATCAGCAAATAACTAAAAAAAACAGTTGATGTAACTATCAAGTGATTATCAGTTGATTGATTTATCAATCAAATGACCAACAAGTTCAGCTCACAATGAGAAATATACATTAAATCAGTACACTCGACTCTTCTTCACTTTGTCTGCTCTTATCTTTTACATGAATGCATCATGCCCCTTAAAATAACACTTAATAACTCTAAGACTTCCACTGGAGTTACAGAGACATGCATGTTTTCTTGAAAGACGGTGCCTACATTAAGGTGGTTTCAAGGTGCATTCAAAAAAAGAAAGATGTACGTCCTACAGCTTTTCACTGTAATAAACCTTTCCTCTTTCAAGTATGATTTTAATAACAAATATAGAGTGCTAAATATTGCACTTATCAAAGGTTTAGTGATGGTTAAAACTTGAAGACTCAAAATGAAAAAGACAGAAAGAGGTTTGGCTTTAGTTTGTCCACTTGGCTTTGAATGCAGCATTCACTTATCGTTGTCTAGGAAATATATGTGGTCTTCTCTTCCCTTCTGACATTTCTCCTATTCAAGACCGAGGATTTTACTTTATAGAACTTGAACAGAGGAGACCGACGGTATGTCAGCCTATGTTTTACAGTCAAGTCTTGGCTAGTGACTCTTTAAAGAAGTCACACGGAGAATGAAGACTGGTCCCGATGCACCTGAGCAGTTATGAATGGAATGTGTTTATGGTTTATTTTACAAACTGGTAAGCAGTTGACAACATGTTCACATTATCCCGGTTCCCCCCTCGTAGATCATTTAAAAAAAAAAAATGGAATGGCAGCATTATGAGTACAAATAGGAGTGGAGGTGTGTTGGTATGAATTTAATTTACTCTGTACACTCAGGTGGAAAAGGACAATGCAGAATGTTTTCATGATGTGACAACAATGAAGCTAAACTCATTCAGCAGCAAATGAGAGAAGAGAGGAAGCCAAAATGACTTCCTCACCTACAACCAATACAATATTGTACTGACGCTGTTTTATTTATCAGCACCTCTAGCTATTTGTCCTTAATTAGACATCCTTCCCTCTTCAGGGGTCTTCATCATGTATAGAAAACCCATTACTTATACAAAGCTACAAGGCAGCCACCTAGAGCTACGGTTGTTATTACAGAAACCGCTCCACATGAGGGGCCTATGGGCATGAGCTCAAACTATTGATTTTCACCAGAGTTGACAGACCTGATAGCTGCAAAATGTACTCAGATCTGCCAACCATTTCCAAGATATTTTCCTCCCCAGCTTGTTTCCACACATCTGTCGTGTCAAACTTACACCTGGAGCCCTTGAAGGATCCCAAACTGCTCGACTACAAAGCAGTTGCTGTATGTCATGCACCTAATTGTCAGTATCACAGAGGATTTGTTGTTTAAAAATGACAGTAGATTAGGATGGCACGGTGTAAAATACCTCAGATCTCGTTTCCCTTTGTGACAGTTTACAGTGTGGGGCGAATATTTGTCACTCCAAATACACAGCATGTAAGCTGAAATCAAAATAATGCTTGTTCTCAGTCCCTCTTTTAATGAGGGAATATGTACTGAATGTTCTATAAATAGAATCCGACTTAACAGACCCTCTTTTGCAGAAAGAACAGGAGTATTCAGAAATCCAGTCAGCTCTTGTGAACAAAGCATACAACACTCTGCTTAAGCCTTTGAGTCGTGGTCTTTATATGGTGAGTTTGAAATCCCTGACTTAACTTCCGATAAACAGTTTATCTTTTTATAACTGCAAGCCTTATCTGTCTGATCGCTTGTTCGAGAGAAACATCCTCTGTTCTGACAGTCGAGAGATGTGACATGCATTTAAAGGAGCAGTGCATTTGATGAACTCCATCTTCTGTTTCAGCTGGAGCTGCAGGGGATGCGTATAGAGGAGGGCACTGACTCTGAGGCGGATTCAGAGTTTCTCATGGAGCTGATGGAGATCAATGAAGCCCTTGATGAAGCGAGGACTCCAGAAGAAGCCAACAAGATTGGCAAAGACACAAAAGGTAAACAGAGATATCTATATAAGTCACTGAAGAATGGAGCAATAAAGGCTCCTTTAAAGATTCAAACTGACCGTTAGTCAGAAAGAATCTCAGAAGGACAGGTACATGTACTCTGATGTAGCATGACACATCAGATATATTGCCATTTTAGATTTATGACAAGTTCAATGGCTAGTTCTTTTTTTCCAGATCTAAAATATGTGTTAAACAAAAAACAACAACAAGAACACACATTTATGGCTGAGATGCTCTTTGGTGGAGGCATGCTTTATTTAAAGGATTACAGTTCCTTAAGAGTCTGGGTAGTGCAGTTACACCTGTGGTAACCATGGTAACAGGATGTACAGTATGTTAATAAATCTAGCCCTCATTGAACAGCTTTGTCAGATTTGCAAGAAGAAGCAAACCAAAGCATCTAACACACTCTAAAAGTGGCTAAAAGACTGTACAGATTTGAAACCTTTTATGACTTCTGGTCACTAC